ACTCATACGTTTACATACTCACACACTCAAAATTTTGATATTTCCTGTTTCCCTTTTGTTTTTACACAGTTACTAATGTAAACATTGCTTTGCATTTACATTGCTGTTTAGATTGCATATTTAATTTACTCAAAATTCTATAAAACTGTATATTTTATAATAAATGATTGATTTTTTTGAGTTTTATTGTTGTTGTTTTACTGTTATTGTTCTTTTGCAACTAAAATTATTATTTTAGTTGCTATTTTAAAATGGCTTTTCAATGAGGCTTATTTTAAAATCAACTAATTAATGGTACAGATTAATTAACTTTACTATAAATATACATACCATATAGGCAACATTTACAATGAGTTTTTGTGGTTAAAAGCAATTTTCAAAAAACAAATAGCAATGAATATAATATTTTGATTGTTTTAGGAAGGTATTATATTTAGGAAAGACTTAAAATAAAAATTTTTAAGAAATATAGCTGAAGTATTTAATTCAAGGAATTTTTAGAATTTTATTGTCCAAGAAAACCATTTTTGAATTTGTCATACGGTGCGTATGAGTTACATATATCAATTATATTGAAATTTATCTCGACATCATTCCTAAACTTATTTTACCCCTAAAGGATAAAAAATCCATTAAATTTAATTTATTCCTTACATTACCCTTAGATCCATTTCAAATCATTATAAATTCTTACTGATATTGGCATTTATTATTTATGAAATAGGATTTTTTCTCATTTTATTAGTTGCCATTTATTATTTATTAAATGCAAAATATTTTTTTCCATTGAGTAGGAGTTAATTCTATAATAGTTGCAATTAATCTTTTATAATTGTACGAAAAAAACTGTGTACATATTTTTTTAATTGCTCATTACAAATACATACATTTCCTTTCAATTAATGCAATAAATTATCACGTTTTTTTTTTTTTTTTCAACAGGCCACTTATAAAGGAAATGTTTAAGAAAAGGTAAAATGAAAAATTTATTGATAAAAATTAACTTTAAACATGACTGATTACGCTCAAATTCTATTAGTAATAAACTCTCGTTTTTTTTATTTTTATAATGATCTTCTTATTATACTAATGGCCTTTTAATTTGATATATAAAACTAGATAAACAAATAAATTTTTCGCTTTTAAATAGACGACCATGATGATGACGATAATAGATTTATGTAGTTTTGGAAATTGGTATTAGAGAAATTTATGCAAATGCATTGTTATTTTTAATTGTACATAAAGGGAGAGTCACTTTAAGAGAGTTTCATGTTGATAATTAATACAAAAATTATATCAAAATGTATATATTAAAATAAAACATAAATCTAACAAGCTGAGTCAAACATAAAGAAAATCTAATATGTACTTTAAATATATCGAATATCCCATATAACTGCATTAGCCATAGCATAGAATATGTGTAACATTATTGCTGTTGTTAGTCCTCAACCAGACAAAGCTAAATTTAGTTTGTTCATATATTATAGAATGTTAAGTCAATATGTCGCGACGGTCAATTAATTATTAAATTATGAGCTGAGAAACACTAACTGGCTGCAAGCAATAATACCAAATAAATTTTTGTTGGGCAAAACACACACTTTGTAATATTAAATCAATGAGTTAATTGATAGTGATATCAACATAGGTACTTATACAACGGAAATCTTTATTATTGTGCAAATCTAAAGGAACAATCACATGCGTAAAATTTGAAAAATATGAGAAATAAACTCAGTCTAGTCTATAGTCTAGTCTATAGTCTAGTCTATAGTCCTAGTCTATAGTCTAGTCTATAGTCTATATCTAGTCTATAGTCTAGTCTATAGTCATAGTCTATAGTCTAGTCTATAGTCTAGTCCTATAGTCTAGTCTATAGTCTAGTCTATAGTCTAGTCTATAGTCTAGTCTAGTCTAGTCTAGTCTAGTCTATAGTCTAGTCTATAGTCTAGTCTATAGTCTAGTCTATAGTCTAGTCTATAGACTATAGTCTAGTCTATAGACTATAGTCTAGTCTATAGACTATAGTCTAGTCTATAGACTATAGTCTAGTCTACAGTCTAGTCTATAGTCTAGTCTATAGTCTAGTCTATAGTCTAGTCTATAGTCTAGTCTATAGTCTAGTCTATAGTCTAGTCTATAGTCTAGTCTATAGTCTAGTCTATAGTCTAGTCTATAGTCTAGTCTATAGTCTAGTCTATAGTCTAGTCTATAGTCTAGTCTATAGTCTAGTCTATAGTCTAGTCTATAGTCTAGTCTATAGTCTAGTCTATAGTCTAGTCTATAGTCTAGTCTATAGTCTAGTAGTCTATAGTCTAGTCTATAGTCTAGTCTATAGTCTAGTCTATAGTCTAGTCTATAGTCTAGTCTATAGTCTAGTCTATAGTCTAGTCTATAGTCTAGTCTATAGTCTAGTCTATAGTCTAGTCTATAGTCTAGTCTATAGTCTAGTCTATAGTCTAGTCTATAGTCTAGTCTATAGTCTAGTCTATAGTCTAGTCTATAGTCTAGTCTATAGTCTAGTCTATAGTCTAGTCTATAGTCTAGTCTATAGTCTAGTCTAGTCTAGTCTATAGTCTAGTCTATAGTCTAGTCTATAGTCTAGTCTATAGTCTAGTCTATAGTCTAGTCTATAGTCTAGTCTATAGTCTAGTCTATAGTCTAGTCTATAGTCTAGTCTATAGTCTAGTCTATAGTCTAGTCTATAGTCTAGTCTATAGTCTAGTCTATAGTCTAGTCTATAGTCTAGTCTATAGTCTAGTCTATAGTCTAGTCTATAGTCTAGTCTATAGTCTAGTCTATAGTCTAGTCTATAGTCTAGTCTATAGTCTAGTCTATAGTCTAGTCTATAGTCTAGTCTATAGTCTAGTCTATAGTCTAGTCTATAGTCTAGTCTATAGTCTAGTCTATAGTCTAGTCTATAGTCTAGTCTATAGTCTAGTCTATAGTCTAGTCTATAGTCTAGTCTATAGTCTAGTCTATAGTCTAGTCTATAGTCTAGTCTATAATCTAGTCTATAGTCTAGTCTATAGTCTAGTCTATAGTCTAGTCTATAGTCTAGTCTATAGTCTAGTCTATAGTCTAGTCTATAGTCTAGTCTATAGTCTAGTCTATAGTCTAGTCTATAGTCTAGTCTATAGTCTATTGTATAGTTTTCAAAGGGTTTCAACAGCGAAATGTGTTAAAAAAATTCCTTAAACAATTTAATTGTTTATAAATTTTAAAAAATAGTTCATCTTCCAGTCTTCTTTATCACACACTTGACCTTTACACTTACTGCCAATTAAAGTAAGAGTAGTTTTCCAAACTATATTCTTACTCTCACTACCTCAATTTTAATTAATAATAAAAATACTATAAACCTCCAGTTATTATTGGCCTCTAAAGGAAACTTTTACTTCCTATTACACATAAACTAAGAAAAAATAGAGAAATAGAAATCAAAAACAGCACATAAGTGGCAAGAGTTTTATTAAAATACTTAAGGAGTAAGAAAAACAATTCTATTAGTGGTAACAAATAACAACGAACAAAAAAAAACACATGCAAATTTTACCCCTGGCAGTGATTTGTTTCCGTTTCCGCTAAAATAATCTAGTAGCATTTTCTACAACTATGTTTTTCTTCTTGTTAAGTGAAGTAAAATTCTTAGAAATAGCAGAGGAACACATTATGTTTATTATTTCCCAGAACTTGGAAAAAAAATAAAATTTTAAAAACTTGAATGAAATTTTTATTTGCAGATCAAAAAGGAATTAAATTTATGTAAGAAAAACAGCACCTTTATTATGCAAATTTATGCTGGAAACTAAAAAAATATTTATACATGCATATATTTTATTGTTGACAGCTTACATACATACATATATTCATATCTGAATCTAAATTAACATTCATAATAATTTTAAACTTTAATAAACAATTTACAAAAAAAAAACAACACTTTTTTATTTGATTTTTACAGGAAGTTGTAAATTTTTTAAAAAATATTTTATTTAAAAATCAATTTTTGTTGAGACTTGTATGATTTATTGAAAAATTTCCATTTCAAATAATTAATAAACATTTTGTTCGAATTTACAAAGTACTTAACAAAGGGAATAGCATAAACCAACAGTATGGTATTTAAAAACAATAATTTTGTCAAAATAATACTGTTTTAATTCAAAAGAGATAAATTTAAAGAACATAAAAAATCTATGTTTTCTGAGTCCGTTTCTGGTCAATGTAGAAACACTAGCGCCAAAAAAAATTAAATTACGTGGGCACTTTTATTTTTCGCAAAAAAACAAATTTTTTCATTAAAAATCGCAAAATCTTTTTTCTTCGAAAACTAGAAGCGCTTCTACTTTTTATTTTCTACTTTTGCAATTCCTTTCTTTTACTACACTAAAGGAAGATATACAACATTGAAATATTTTACTCACTTTTTAATGTTGTACTTTATTGTAATTAGAATTGTTTAAAAAAATAATTTGTACGTTAAACTGTTAAATGCTTGCTGTTTACTTCCTTTTTGAAGAAATGTTAAACTAACAGCTGTCTAAGCAACAAGCACTACTTTAACAAACATAAATAAATAAATCATATGGCAACACTGAGCTAACAAACACAGTAGTATAATTTTTATTTTATTGTGATTATAGAAAATTTTTATTAAAAATTGTATTTTAAAAAATTTGCAGACTACATTTAGGAATTAGAAAGGTTTTTTATTTAAATATAATTTTAATTATTATCTATATATGTATTTCTTTTATATTTTTTGTGTTTTACTTTAAGCTACAAATACAATCTTTTCCGAATAACAAGCAAAAAGAAATTAACAGAATTTTCATATGAAATTCCCATGGAAGTTAAAGTGATATTATTTGTTGCAGGTTGTCGTTTCTTATTTTCATTTGTTCCCTACTTTCAATTCCATAACCAAAAAAACAACAAATATTAATTATTGAACACCCTGTTATGTTTTGACATTTTAGTTGTGTCACATTTTTTCTTATAGAGCGTCGTGAGTTTTACGTAGCAGTGTGTTTAAATATATTATTAAATATATTATTAGTGCATAGTAAAATAAACAATTTAATGATTAAAATGTTTAATGGCATAATAATTTGCTAAAAAACATAAATAGTGTTTGTGTTTTTATTAAAAGCTGAACATTTTCGCCACAGCTCTGTCAATTTTTTGTTTAGCTGCTTCTATTTACATTCTAACATTCACTTTAAAGTAATAACATGTATTATTTATATATGTATAAAATTGTCTATTTTTGTTTACAAATTTAAATTGTTAATTTTGTTAATAAAGAATTAAATATTTTAGCATTTGAAATGCTAAGCCCGGAGGAATATATTCTCGATTTTAAGGCAGAGGAGAGAAAAACCCAAGCGACAGTTTTCGATATAGAAGATATTGAAAGTGATGGCACTTTATCAGCCAGTGAGGTCGATAGCAATGGCGGCGGTACTCCCACACCACCATTGCTTTGCAAACTTAAGAAAGTTCGTGTTATGATTAAAAAATTACCCTCCCATGTTTTAGAAACTTATAAACTAAATAAAAATAATAGCAGTAAAGCAAAAACCAACAGGTTTGTTCAACTTTTGTGTATCATTAAAAATATTATATTTTTGTTTACATTTTAGTTCCTCTGCCAAAAAGGCTGCAAGAATATCCAAACGAAAGGGAGCCAAAACTGTGCCAGGTTTATATTTGTCTTTACATGTTAATAAACCTTTAAATGAAGTTCTTAATGTACGAAAAAGACGCAAGAGTACTTTTTTAAATACTTCGCGAAGACATTTCAATATAAATAAGCAAAAGGTGGTAACTAACGATAAAAAATCTGTAGAACTTTCGCAAAAATCAAAAACAACCACAAGAAGATCTGTTAGAAGTATTGCTCTAAAAAATGAAAGAAGCAATACTGTTGCAAAGTCATCAACACAAAAAAACTGTTCCACTATCAGCAGCTCTTCAGCAAGAACCTCTGGTCTAAGAAAAACAAGAAAAGAGTGTCAATTCATTAAACCCCAGGCACCTTTAATAACAAATATTTCATCCAATAGACCTAATACTAGTTTACATGCAAAGATAGCAGCCACTAGACCAATAAACAAAGAGGAAAAAATAAAAAGATTTGTGGCCACATTACCTAATTGTCCAGATGTTGTCATAACGAAATATGATTTACCAACAAACTCGCAAACTAGATCGTCACAGTTTACACATCCTGCAAATTCTTTAATATATAATCCAGCAGTCGTGCCATCATTACAAACTTTATATCAAGCTTATCCAGATTCCAGATTGCTAACTACACCACAACATAATATTACTATCCAAGTTCCTGATACTTCAACATTAACAAACTTATCACAAATACAAAATACACAGACAAATAACGCTTTTCCCACACTCATTATGTCTGCTCCCCGTCGTCTACCAATGTCAGTACCAAACCAACCACCAATAATACCCACTTCCACTTTAACACAAACTTCCTTTATAACGCCAAAAGCAAATGATTCCATTACAAAGCCAGCATTAAAAAATGATCCTGAGCAAAATAAAACCAAAAATTTACGAAAAAGGCAACGAAAAGATACGGGAAATTATTATGAAAGTGATATGGAAACCTGTCTGCAATCCGAATCTGAAGATCTGGAAATGTCGGACACTGAACAGCGTAGCAGCAATGTGCCAGAAGTTATAAAGCGTATAATATATCACACTAAATCGGTACAAACAAAGTAAGTAATGAAAACATACACACAGTTAAAACACTCGTTTAGATATTCCTTATTTTATTTAATATTTAAGGTTCACTTGCAATGGCACCATTTGCGGCTTAGTAGACTCGGATGAATTTAATTTAAATTGTTTTTACTGTTATGAGATCTTTCCTTTGCACAAATGGATGGAGTTTAAGGAACATATTAAAGTTGTACACCATGTAGAGGAGCAGGCAAATGAAAATGAAACCGAAGAAGAAGAAGAAACGGAAAATGCAAATCTTACCACAAATTCCGATACTCAAACTATAAATCTAAAGGCAAAAACTTTAAGCAACAAGGACAGGTTAATAGCAAAACCAGTAGAATCACCTCCTAAAGAATGTGTTTATAAAAAATTGCCACTCGAACCTAGACTTGTGGCTCAACGTGAGCGAGAACTTAATAGAATAACCTCGGGCCCAGCTAAAAATTCAATAACTCATGTAAATAAGAGTCCAGCTAAGAAATCCTCACAACAACTAAACCAATCACAACAATCAAATTGTTCATCTAGAGGAAATACTTCAGTGGATCTTAGCGATGATATTATTAGTTTAAATAGCGATGATAGCGACGATGATGTTCTACAATTGGTTGATGAAGATATTAGAGAGCATGTGGTGAAAAATAAACAGAAAGTTAAAAAATCTGTAAGTAATAATTTAAATTTGGTGAGTTTGAAAGAAGTAGTAGATATTAAGATAGATTAGATAGATAATGATAGATAGATAGATAGATAGATAGATAGATAGATAGTAAGATATATAGATAGATAGATAGATATATCGATAGATAGATATAATAGATAGATAGATATATAGATAGATAATAGAATAGATAGATAATCGATAGAATTAGATAACTAGATAGATAGATATAGATAGATATATGATAGGATAGTAGATAGATAGATCATAGATAGATATAATAGATAGATAGATAGCTAAGAAGATAACTTATAGATAGATAGATAGATAGGTAATAATCGATATAGATAGATAGATAGAATCGATAGATAGATAGATAGATAGATAGATAGATAGATAGATAGATAGATAGATAGAATAGATAGATTAGACAGATACATTATATCATAAGTTATATAAACAAAAGTCTAATATTCAAAACATAAATTCCGCCACAATTTACTTTCAATGTATCTTTTTTCTTTTAGAATAATGATATGTCCCTAATCGATAAAGTAGCTAAACTGATACCGCCACATATAACTATTAAAAAGGTCCAAAAACCTTGCTCAACTGAAACGGCAAATGTAAATAAATTGGAATTATATTTCTACTTAAAACTAAATTAATAAAATCTAAAATTTCAGACCAGCAAACCAAACGTCCCGGAAAAAACAATTTCTTTAGTAAAGCCCTTTATTAACAAAGCAACTACTGTAACCCCTAAGGTAAATTTATTATAAATTATTTCCGAAATTACAAGAATTGTGAATTACTATTGTTATCTTTAATTTAAGACCACTGATACTTCCTTAGATGAGCCCTTTATAAAAGTGCCTTCTAATTTCAATATACAAAGAGTTATTAAATATATACCTAAACCCACTATTGAAAAATCAACCGGTGTAGAGAGTACTAAACCTAGATACTTTGTGGTGAAGAAAATTGTAAAACCAGCCAACAAGGTGAGATAAAAATTGAAAAATAATTGATTTTCTTTAACTTTTACATATGTCAACTATTTTTTCAAGATACCCAATCTAAATGTGTCGAAAGGCATGATTGTAAACAAAAGGTTGATGGCAAATGATAATGACATGCCTTCGAATGATGAAAATGAAGATGCGATGCCCAAACCCACCAATGGTGGTGGTGTAAGTTTAGATTTTCAACACAAATCAGCAAAAATTCACATAATTTTTCTTTATTTTAGATTTTATTTGGTTTAACTAATCCCATGGTGGTTATAGAATTTCTTTTGAAACTAAAATCTTTCCCAGAATTATGGCGTCCGCAAGTGAAAACTAATTCAGCAAATTACGATGAAAGTATTAAAAAATTATGTTTTCATCTTAACAGTCGTTTCGAGTTAAATATAAAAGATATTGAAATGCGTCTTAGTATACAGCGCGTTAAGGATTGGTATTGTCGCATGCTGAAAAAGATTCACGAGCACAATAAAAATTGCAATAATACGGAACCATTTAAACACAAATTTCCATTGTATTTTAAAATTCTAAATCAATTCCTAACCTCTGATGTTCATTATACTAATAACCTTTTGCTAAGTTCACACAAGTCCGATACAAATATTAATAAATGTATGGTAAATAAGACGGCAGAGGAGGCTCCCAAAACAAATGCATTTCATTTGGATAAAGAGAAAGAAGATCTGAATAGTTCTAGATCACTTTTAACACCAACAAACAACACAACAGCAGTTAACAAGGAACCAGCTGCAGCAACAACAACTGCAGTCAAATCTACTACCCTACCTATTAATGATCCACCACCCGACACAGAAACTGCAACAAATTTAGAAAATAATACCGACAGTCTTATAGAATTTGATGCCGATATTTTATACGAGGACGAAAGTAGCGATGAAGAGGTGCTGGAGCCATTCGATGAAACAAAACCGTCAAAGAAAAAAACCAATAAACTCAAAGACCCTACCACAAGACGTACCAAGACTTATTTGGGCAGGTATGAATGTGATGTATGCAAAAAAGTTTACAAACGTAAATGTGACTTAAGACGTCATAGAATTCATCACTTCCCTCCACAATTTGAATGTTCTGTTTGCTCACAAAAATTCTTCTTCAAGCATTGGGCCGAAAAATGTAATCATCTTAGAAAGCGTAAATATACTATAATGAACAAATCCGATAAAACTGAAGCTGAAGGCGAGGGGCGTGTGGAAACCGTGATACCCAAAAAATGGCCCAAAAAAATATTTAGATTTAAATTGATTTGTGAGATATGTGGTGCTTCCTATAGACAGATTGGTTCTTTGAATTGCCACAAAAGAGACAAGCATTTAAATCAAAGACTCAAATGTGTGGTATGTAGTTTTACCGCCCTCACCAATTATCGCATAGTGCAGCATCAGAAAAAGCGGCATATTGTCGAACCGGGTACAGTAGAAGAAGTAGCTAAGAAAAGCCGAGCACGTACGGATACTAAAACACCCTTTTCGGTGGAGGCTAGACAAGAATTTGACTGGCGTCGCGAAATGCGCAAGAAACTGCAGCCGGGTGAGAAATTTTTCGCCTGCTGCAAATGTCGCATCATCTTTAATTCACGCAAAGAAAAGGTTTTACACAACAAACTTGAGCACCCCATTAAAGAAACTTCTGTGGTTTGTCTTTTATGTTTGCCCAATAAATTTCTCTTATCCAACTCCAACTCAGCTCGACGTCATTACACCGACATACATAAAGTACCCTGGGATGAAATCGATGCTTTGGTCAAGCGCACTAAACCGGTTTTCAATATTTTAAGCAAAGATGAAATTGAGCTTTTAAATGCCAGTCAAAATTGGAAGGAACTTTTGGAAGAGTTAATAAAGGATAGAGAACTGGAGCCGGTGGAAAAGATAAAGACTCAAGTAGATGAAGAAGCCATACAGGCGATACAAAATTTACCAATTATTAACACAGAACCCGAAATAGAAGTGAATAAAATCGATGTGGAATGTGGAACAAAGGAAGAAGAAAATGTATATGTTGATGGCATGGAGGAGAGTAAGAAGGATGAAAATATTTACGTAGATAACATGGAGGCAGCAAAAGAAGAAAATGTTTATGTGGATAACATAGAGGCAGAGAAGGAAGATAATGTTTATGTAGATGACAGAGAAGAAGCGAAGGAGGAGAATGTTTATGTAGATGGCATCATAGATCATGACTACAATAACGAGGAAATGGTGTATACTGAGCAAGAACAATACACCACCCACAATAACAATGAACATGATTACAGCGAGGAACAAGGCGATGCCATTGAAAGTTATAATAACTACGAAGAAGAATTAAATGAACACAATAATGATCAGTTATATGAACATTCGCCCAACGTAGCAGTTGAGGGTATAAATGCACCCATTGCTTATAACATAGAATGCACTGAAGATGTAATAGACGATCATCAAAATACTGAACATAATGACCAAGAATATCTTCAAACTATTGTCGATGATTTGGTCGAAGGAGAATTGGTCGATGGGCAGTTGGTAGAAGAATGTATTGTGGTAGAAGAGTGTATTGATGATGTTATCGATGAAGAACTGGAATATTTTGAATAAACTCTAACAAATACATACCTAGTTTAGGTTTAAAATCTCTTAAAAACATACATATAAAATGAAATGTATTTTTTTAAATTCTAAATGTAAGGATGTGAATTTATAAAATAAATATTCATAAATTGTTGATTTTTAAAATTAATTATTTAAAAAATTTATTATTTTTTTCTAATATTAAAAAAAAATTTTAATTTTTTATACGTTTAAAAAATTATTTAATTTTTCCAAAAAAATACGAATTTTATTCATAGTTTCCATACCTGATTTTAGACCAGTCAATGTTATCTTGCAGTTCTATGAAATGGCTGTAAATTATTTTTATTCTTTTTATTTATCTTTGGTCAAACAGTTTGGTGAAAACAATTTATAAAAAATAAAGTAATTTAGCGCCATATGCAACGTCAAAGTATATTAATAAAGTAGCGTTACTACAGCTGACTACTCAAAGTGTATTTTGACAACTTTCAACATTGCTAATGTCAGGGATGGAAAATCGAAATTTTAAAATAGTACTAATAACAAAATGAGCAGTTTTTTTTGTTTTAAAGTACTAAACTAATATTCCCCTAGCCTATATATTGACTATAAACTAGTGGTACATTGATTACTATGTGGACTATTTTTCAAAAGTTTATAAGCAGGATGCACTAAATAAGGTGAAATCGTTAAGGCAGCTGATTTTTATTTGTTTATTTAAAAAGTGCTTGGGTTGTGTCAAAATGAATTCATTTATTTTTATTCTAAAAAAAAAATATATTTGTGTTTTCAAAGCAAAAAAAAAATTAAAATTATGAATTAAAATGTTCATGCAAAGTTTTCAAATAAGAAAACTCAGATGAAGAAGCATTAAAACATTGTCCTGCTGCAGATACAAGCTAAATATAACGACGGTTTTATAGGTAATATTGAGAAATACACAAAAACTATTTCTTTCCAATGTTTATTATTTTTCAATTTTAGAAATTTCATTTTGACAAAACCCAACTCTAGACAACAAAAAAATATTGTGTTTGTTGCCGAAACGCTCTCACCTTACTTATTACATCATGGTTTATAAGTTAGAAAAAGTACCGAAAATGTCATGGAAATATTACTGAATTGTCCATGCCTGGTTTATGTTGTTATTTTTAATTTGTTTTTTTTTTTTATTTTTCTAAAAGTTAAAAACAGTAATGGAAAGCTGAAAAGAAACTTTTAAGTGTTTATAGTGCTAAAAAATAATTAAAGATTATCTTTAACATTTTAAAAATAAAAAAAACTCGTTATAAACAATGAGAAAGTGCTGCGTTTGTAAAAAAAAAGACAATTCATCAAATGGAAGTTTTTTCTCAATTCCAAAAGATGAACATAGAATGAAAAAGTGGAGCGATGCTTGCCAGAAAATTTTTGGAAAAAGTGCAAAAGTTTGCATGGACCATTTTCATCCATCGTCGTTCATTAAAGTAGGCGCGAAAGTCGAATTGGTGTATGATGCCGTTCCTTCGCTTCACCTTTTTAAAAAGGAGACACAAAGGTAAGTAAATAAATGTTCTTTTTCTAATTAAAAGTACTATTTTCTATGCAAATTGAATTTACATTTTTATTTCCAGATTTTCAAATGAAAACTCTAAATTTTAATATTTGTTTTATGAAAATCAACAAAAATATTTTTAACTTTTTTATGATCTCTTTAATGTGAACTTTTTGGATAAAGTTAACAGGTTGCATTAGTAACTCTATCGCGACTTCACTGTACCATCATTATTGTTTTGGTAATTGAAATCCCAGTTCATTTTCTTCTGTGTTGTTCTCAATATCCATTTTAGATTGTGTCAATTAAAAAATTATGAATGTGATTTTCTGCAAAAAAAAGTTAAATTAAACTTGCAATTTGTAGCATATGTATATGTACATACATATGTACAATGAAGTACGGATAGAGTGAACATTCAATAATATGAATTTATTGATAACTTAAAAAAATAATTTTTTTTTGTTAGTTACTCTACATAATCTCTATGTAGATGTAATTTTTATTAATTTATAACAATATCGGAGTAAATATACAATCAAAGTGTCTGTAGGAGACAGTTATTTGTAATTCCACCATTTTCGACAATGGCTCCTCAACTGATCTATTATTCCATGCAGATACGTTTGCAACAATACTTCAGATGGGACAACAATGCACAGCAATCCAGCAACAGTTTCCCAGCAATAAAGTCAAATCGTACAAGTTGTCAAACGTACGCAAACGGAGTAAATATAATTTTATAAATAAATTATTTTATTAATTCAATCTCTAGTCCGATAGTTCAGTGAAATAGGCAGAACTTCAAATCAAATGCTGCCATTGAGACCATGGGGTCAATATTTATGAAGGGTCAATTAAAAAATAAATTATGTCTCCAGGTTATGTTAAATGATATGTTGTTTATTATTTGCGGAATACAATTACAATTTTAGGTATTGACACAATTTAATTCGACATTTCCAAAGCTTGTTTTAAAAACAAATTTAAAACAAAGTGATTTCGGGTGTACTATAGGTACACAAAATTCAAAATATGTTAATCAATTAATCAACATGTAAAAAAAAAATGATTAATTTTAAATGAATTTTTGACAAAAAAAACTTCAAGTTCACTTTATAGAGACTTGCGTTATTCACTTTTTAGAATAACAAATGTAAAATTGTGTTTATCCCGAATAGTCATTATTGCATTATTATTCATTTAAGTTTTATTTTCTAGTGTTTCCATGGAGCCGGAAGAGGTTATGGCATGTGACAGCGATATTTTTATTGAAAGGTAAGTTTGTTGTAGCTAAATTCATAAGTATTAGATTTCCTACCTAAATTATGCCAAATTATTATAAATTATGAGATAAGAAGAATGAATCCCTAAAGTACTTTAGTTACATCCAACTGGATTGATGTCACATGAGATAAGAAGAATGAATCCCTACAGCGTGCTAGGGTACTTTGTAGTTTAGTTACACCCGAATAGATTGATTTCGATGTTGTAAATAAGTTTTAAATAGTTTTTACACAAAATTTTGGGGTGTAAATCGTAACGACGTAAAATGTGACGACGCACTGTACTTTGTTAATTTTTGTAAACAATAACCATATGGTTTTGATATTTGGCCTAGTAAGATTTCAAAAGCGTTCTACAAAAAAAAAGAAAATTACAGTCCATTGACAAGAGCCACCAAGACGATTATTTTCATTATTTCTTTACATTTTGTGATTAAACAAATATGTTAAAATGAAAAGTTGTTGTATTTGCAAGAAAAAAGTAACAAAAGGAAATGGAAGTTTTTTCTCCATTCCAAAAGATGATGAACGCCGGAAAAAGTGGAAGAAAATTTGTCATATAAATTTTAAAGCAAATGCAGTAATTTGTATGGACCACTTTCCTTCAACTTCTCTTATTAAAACAAAACGACAAATTATGTTAATGCCAAATGCTGTGCCTTCGTTGTCCACATTAGAAGTACAGCAAATTAAAAACAAATACAAGGAACAGTATTCAGACAGCGATCAAGAGGTAGAAATACTAAACAATGACTTGGATAAAATGTAAGTTTGTTTAATAATCCAAACCATAATGGAACAATTATTATTACAAAGTATGTACATATGTTCTCAGTTTTTCTTGCCAAATGATATCACAACGAATCACTTGTGTAGGTTATAAAAAGAATAGATAAAGACAATATCTGTCCTGATAGGCGCTCCTTACCCAAAAACGGGCTAACAGACTAGGAACACTACCAACTATCCTACCCGAAACACTCAAATACACAACATAAGATGGCTTTAACACGCCGTTGAGCCTTATTTCAATATTCGACTTTTAGCCGTCGCTATATGTTTCTGTATTTAGCCGTTCATAATTTATATCGACTTCGCTTTGTTACCCGTTGTTTGTTTATCGTAGAGTGAATCAATGTATTTTTAAGTCCCGGTGTTCCAAGAATCTCCAAAATCTCTGTGGCATGAAAAAAGAAATTTTGAAAATTGGCAAAAAATCACCGCTTGTACAATAGTATAATTGGTTAACCATAATTTAATAAATACATACGTTTTCAGTATGCCAAAAACTTCTTTGTAGTTACAAAATAATTTAAAATATAACAAACCCACCAAAGAGTAAATAAAATAAAATGAAAGTTTGCTGCCTTTGTGGGAAAAAATCTAAGAAAGGCAATGGAAGTTTTTTCTGTGTTCCAAAAAATGAAAGAAAGGCGATTTGGGACGAAGCTTGTCATATGATATTATCGCCAAATGCAAGGATTTGCGTGGACCACTTTGATTCAACTTCATTTATTAAATCGTCGCGATGTACTATGTTAACGTATTATGCAGTTCCTTCTGTTAAGTCATTTGATAGAAACGAAATAGTTCCTTCAGTTAAGCCATTTAATAAAAACGAAATAGCAAACGGTGAAATGTCTTCCCCAATGCTTTCGTTATGCCCAACAGACGAAAACAAGGAACAGTCCTCCGACGAAGAGCATGAAGTAGAAATATTGGACGATGAATTGCATGAAGTGTAAGTGATAAATTATTAATGTAAAAAATGTTGCTTTAATGATCACTTTAATGAAAACAAAAATTATGCAAAATGTGTTTAAAATAAACACATGTAAACATAAACAATTTTGACAGTTTAATTAGGCCGGGCGAATTTAGAAGAAAATATTGGCAGGAAAATTTAGAAAAACAAATCCTTTCATGAAATGTTGTGTTTTAGAAAGTCTTGAATATATGAAGATGATTTAAAAATTAGTAGGTTAGGTTGAGGAGGATGTATCAAATCCGAAGAAATAAACCTAGACCACAAAATAAAATATTTCGAGTGTTTTTTTTTACCAAAAATTGCCAAAATGACAATAAAACGTCAAATCTAGCAACAGTGCCTGTGAGGTAACCTTCTAGCAAGATATATTAATTATAAGATAGTGTCGTCGGCGAGTTCCGAAAAAAGCTAATTAATTTTATTTTTTATATATGGAGTTTGGCAGTATGCCTACACTTGAAAGTGCAGCACACTGTCAAAATAGATGTAAAAAAAAAAACAAAAGTGTATTAGCAAAAAACAATCAGTTTCTCTGTTAACACCACCTTATAATTAAGATACCATGCCTTATAGAAATTAACTTTTGATTACTATACATACATACAATTTGCATTATAAACAAACAAAAATTTAAACTGTGCGACCGACTTCTTCAATAAATTAAATAAGCAAATTAACAATAAAATGAGATCTTGTTGCATTTGCAAGAAAAAAGCTACAAATGGAAATCGAAATTTTTTTTCCGTTCCAAAAGATGAACGCCGAAAGATATGGATGAAAGTTTGCCGTATGAATTTCATGGCAAGTGCAGTGATTTGCATGGACCACTTTCCACCAAATTCTATTATTAAAAATGAAAGAAAAATGATATTAATGCCCAATGCATTGCCTACCTTATGCATCTCAGACGAAAAGCTAACGAGTATTAAATTGGAGAATTTATCAGACGAAGAGGAGCATGAAGTAAATATAGAAAACAATGTCATTGATGATAAAGAGCAAAATCCCAATATTGAAAACAATTACATGGATGAACTGTAAGTTAATTTAGTTCACAAAGTAAAAGGAATTCAGTTTTTATAAGTTTCATAGAATTAAGATTTTAGCAGTTTTGTGAATGTAAATGTGGTCTAAAACATAAAAATATGTTTTAACAAAAAACCTTTGACATCTGTATGTATATTGACAGTCAGCTGTGCTAACCTTGTATAGATTCGCTTTAAATGCCACCTCATTTTGAATTCGTCTAAAAATTACCAGTTGTTTTGTGGCATTGTATCGCCACCTTATATAAATTCGTTGATAACAATTTTATTATCATTCTTTTCTATTGTAAATTTAATAGAATTGAGTAACCAAAAATCCCACCAAACATGCACTGCTGTGTTATATGCCAAAAGAAGGTTAAATCCGAAAACGGAACTTTTTTAAAGTTCCCAATAATGAAGAAATGACTGGAGAGTGGAGTAGAATATGCCAAAAAACATTATGTAGAAATAATCGCATTTGTATAGATCATTTTCGGCCTGGGGACATTATAAATTCGGGTCGCCGGGTTATGCTATTGGCCTGTGCAAAGCCTACTATAATTAAGCCTGCAATTCCTGAGTAAGTAAAAGGCACTAACATTTTTTTGTCCATTATTGGGATACAATTCGGATTCGTTTTAGTATCCAAATTGGCGTTTATATTACTGAATAAATAAATTTTTATAAACCTGAGTCTATGTATAAAAAATTGTAAACAATGATCAGCTGGGCTAATGATGTCACCTTGTATTTAGTACACCCTGTCAAGCAAAACAGATTTCTTCAAATTAAAATGTCAAACTTAATGCAACAAATACAACAGGCTAATTTTGACAGCAAATTACTTGTAGTTTTTGTTGCAGTTCTGTCGTCAGCATTTATACATAAATTCGCCTTAAAATACTGTGTTTGTGGCGTGGTAACACCACCTTTCATAAATTCGCTTTGTAGCAGCATTTTCATTGAATATTTTCTTATTGTTTTGGAATCGACAAAAAAATTATAATCTCCACCAAAATAAAAATAAATTTTAAGGATCCAATAAATTTGGTAATAAAATGCGCTGTGTGCTTTGCAAAAAGAAAGTGGAGCGCGGAAAAGGCACATTTTTTTCGGTTCCTAAAGACGAACAGAGACGTAGAGATTGGAGTAAGCTATGCGGTAGAAATTTGACCAGCAGCAATCGCATTTGCATAGATCACTTTCGGAAACAGGACATTATAAATGCGGGTAGTAAACTTTTGTTATTGCCAAATGCAATGCCAATTGTTGAGTCTTTTGAAGAACCAGCAGCTAAGATTAAAGTCAAAAATCGAAAGTAAGTAATCATATTTGGAACTGAGGTTGGCCAACACATTTGGTTAAATATTAGGCGGTGCCCTTATCGTAAACTAAAATCTCTTATGAAACTAATTTTTTAACAAAACTTTTAAGAAATTTTAATAAAATATAATTAAAAATTTAATTTTAGGGAAATCAACACCGCAGTTACCCCAAACTACTACCCGCCAGATCCTCTTAGTAATGAAATTGTAGAAGATGTGTTGGGAGAAAACTTATTAAATATAAATAACAATGAGCTGCCTGATCTTTTCGAAGGAAATCCTCTTGTACAAATACCTATTGTTAAGCCAGAGAATAGATCAATATCCACACAAACTAATACGCGGCTCTGCGGCTCAGTAGAAGTATCCGAGTGCGCGGAAGAATATCGACTTAATTGTTTCTATTGTCCTGTAACATATCCATTGGCGTACTATAAAAAGTTCATAAGTCATATGAAAAAAAAACATTTTGACTTTGAATCAGCATTTGATATACCCAAATATGTTTCAGACGACCACGATTATACTCCAATCATTGAGCCGCCTTCCTCTCCACCAATTGATGCTGTTGTACAAACTCAACCACAAGAACCTCTGGTTATTGAGGCTAACGCTTTACTACCATGTCTAGTACGATTATTAAAATCAGCCTATAATCCCTTTGGAACCGTTTTAAGTCAAAATTCCAATTCTACTATAGCAGTACAGCAGAAGAACACGATGGTTAATTGCAACAACAATGAACAATTTGATAATTTTGTAAAACCTGCAATACCACCACAACCAGCACTTGGAAAGGAAAATAAACTAAAATATTCATATATGTCCAACCAGAATATACAAACTTTCACTTTGCCAGAGCACTCGAAAAATGAAAAAGACATGCCGCTTAAAAAAAGAACTATCAAAAAATCCAGGAGAAAAAGTATTTCGGGAAATTCAGGGAAAAGTAAGGAAAAGGTAATTTCATCTAAATATTTATTTAAATATAAGAAAAAAACAACCGTCGATACTATTGTCTAGGCTACACGGTCATGAACAAGACTATCACGGTCTTATACATGATGAAAACGAGCTGTTACTTGCAACTGGTTTTCATTATGAATAAAGCCCTTCACGTATAAATTTTGTACTCAATCTGCCGTATTTTTCCACTTTTTAGATTCTCTCTTCGGGAGTAATTTATTTACCAAATACAAAACGGGTAAGAATTAATATGACTGTTCCCATACTCGTCTGGATTGCAAGTTTTTGCAATAAATCGTTCCCGTAGAAAAATGTCAATGTACTTTGTTGTTGTTCTAACTATTTCTAACTAAAACCTGTCAAATCGACGAGTACGGAAACAGACATAAAATTTACATTTTGTAAAACGGAAGAATTTTAAAATGACCATAATTTTTCTTACAGCAAACTGCTTTAAGTCGTTGTCTTAAGCGGTCTAGTACAATTGATACATTAGAGCCGCCAGAGCCACTAGAAGATGACGCTTCTCCTATAGAAGATGCAAATGTTCAGCCATATACAACAGAGGTACAAAATAATGTTTGTTTGTTTATTAGAAAACGACAACTAATTGATTTCCCCTTTTTTACAGCTTTCTTTCGAATACACGCCACGTGACATAATCGATTCCATGTTAGACTGTATGAAAAATTATCCTGTCTTGTGGGAGTTTGATGCTGAACCATTTAATGATGATTACTACGAAGCTGTTGAAGAATTGTGCCGTGTAATCAACGAAAAATGGTCTATGAATATCGATAATTTGAAAATGCGTCGCAGTGTTAATCGTGTACTTAGATATTACTGGTCGGTTTATCCATTGGAAAATGTGGAAAATATAGATCAATTTACTTGTTATTATGATCAATTGGCGGCTTTTTTGCCAGCCTCTGTGCATGAAATAGCCTATTCCCGTTGTTCGCACTGTTACCGATGTTACAAAAATGATAGTGATCTAAGAGCTCATCTGTTGGAGGAATTTAGGCACCTTCAATGGCCCCACAAGTGTGTGCAATGCAAGGAATGTTTTAGGGATATTAATGAATTTGAGTTTCACAAAAGTCTGCCTCACTATTTGGAAGTATTCAGATGTGAACAATGCGGCAAGCCTTATACTCAACGCAATAAATTCAACAAACATGTATCTATCCACCAAATAAAACAAAGTTCCGAACCCGGTAAATACGTGTGCAATATCTGCGGCAAAGAATATAAACTTAGTAGTGAATTACGGAATCATTTGGTTTATCACGGAGAGAAAAAACACAAGTGCCATTTGTGTCCGAAAGCCTTTTTCACGAATGCCACTCTAAGACATCACTTAAGAAGTCATAATAAAGAATATCGCTTAATATGTGAGGTATGTGGCAAGGGTTTTATTCACCACACCAATCTCAGGGAGCATATGAAAAAACACACTGGAGCTAAGATCACTTGTAATATTTGCAATTTGAAATTAAGAAAATCAAGTCTAATGCGACATCTACGTACAGTGCATGTAGCCTGCGAGGGCACCATTGAAAGTACCTACAGAGCGAGAAACCATCATTATAGGAAATTACTACAATGGCCCAGTAAGCACTATACTCGCCGCACCAAATATAAAAAGGAGAAAGACTACTGTTGTAAAATCTGTGACATACATTTCGATGGCTACAAACAGATTGTGGAACACAATAAGGAATTTCATGCCAATGGCCAAAAGTGGCCGTGTAAATTATGTACTTCGGAATTTAATCGTAAATTAAATCTCAGTCGTCATTATCGCAGAAAACATCAGCTGCATGCTTATCAAGTTTTCAAATTAGTCGATAAGGGCGAAGATGTAGATACAGTGTTGGCGATAAAACCCGAAGAGTTGGATAGATTAACCGAAACTTTACAGTATTCACTGAATACTGGATTGACTGGAGCAAATAGTACATCTACAGCAGCAGCCGAAACACAAAAACAAAGCACAATAGAAACAACTACAATAATCAAAACAGATCCCTCACCAGAGGAGATTTATATTGAGGAAGAGAGACTCCACAGCGATACAATACAAGATCAAATAATGCAGGTTGTTGATGAGGATAACATCGCCTCACACGATATTAAAGTCGATGACGATCATTATATGCATGATTTTTTCACAAATCTCTTAAAATAAGTTTTCTAGTTTTAAAATAACACATTTATTTTTTGTTCTTTTAAGTTAAAAAATTGTTGTTTTGTAAGTTATAACTTTAAGCATTTTCTTTTTAAATGTATTGAATTAATTTAATATTTTCGTTAAATTTCTTATCGATGGGTTTCCACTGTACTCCTTTCAAAAATGAACATTCTTATTTGCATGTTGAAAACATTGTAATTTATTGGAAACCTTTTTAATTGAGGAATTGTGGCTTTCTTGTTAGCACTGTACATATTCTTGTTAAATCCAAATAAATTTAGTAAAAATAAAAAGTTTATCAAAATTGATTTTTTCTTGTTTGGAAAACGTATAGGGGAATTAATTCTATATCGTATGTGATTATTATACATTTATTTATATATTTAAATAACTTATGGTTCCTGAAAATCGATTTTACACAAATTAAATTGTCTTCTTTCATGGACCATGAGACAAATTATCTGACAAATTGTGATTTTTTTTATTACATGTCAAAAAGTAATCCAAATTTGTCTATGAAAAGATCGCCAAAATCATAATATGAAATCTGGTAACGCTATTTACGTTTAATAAAAAGAAGAAGACAATATTTACAATTGTTGCTGGAATATTAAAAGAAAAACAATTTTATGCAAAATTTATTAAAAACAATTAAAAAATAATATTTTTATTACCATATTTTAATACTTTCCCAAACAACAAAGTGTCAAAATGCGTACTTGTTCTTTGTGTAAAAAGAAGAAACCACTTAAAAGTTGCGCCTTCTTTGGCATTCCAAAAGATGAACGCAGAAGAAAATTATGGAACGAGGCCTGTCGTCTAGACTTATCAACAAGTGCCCGCATATGTGAAAATCACTTTTTGTCAACCGATATAGTAATAGGATCGAAAAAACCTTATTTACTGCCTAGTGCTGTGCCTGCTATTCAGACAAAATTAACTGGAATGGCGTAAGTGTTAAGAAATTTATTACTTTACCATTATTTTCATAGACTAATATTCTTTCTTTTGCAGTTTAACATATACCACTTGTGCCCTAGGTTGCCCAAACGATAAAGACCTTTATAGATTTCCCACTAGGAGAAACGATGAAGAAAGGCAAGTTTTTTATATCTGGGGAAAACTCCACATCGACTTCAAAAAACGAATACATTGAAAATTAACAGAAAACTGGATTTTCTACAAATCTGAATTTCTAATTTTTGTCATTTTACAGAAGAAAATTGTGGCTAGATTTTTTTGAAATGGAAGAACCTAATCTTGAGGATTTGTTTGCTTGTGAAAGACACTTTTCTAATTTACAATCCAATGAGAAAGGTATCCTTTTGACTGCAGTTCCCGATGTCTCGTAAGTACTTAAATAATTATTAACTCGGGAAGATTTAAAAATTTTATTAAAATTTATGTTGCTCTCTACAACGAACGAACTAGAATTAAAGATAATTTAAACTCGAACTGATTTAAAGCTAGAACTGAACTAAATCCAAACTACAACTAAACTATAACTTAACTAGTACTGAACTAGAACTGAACTAGAACTGAACTAGAAATTAACTAGAACTGAACTAGAACTGAAATAGAACTGAACTAGAACAGAACTAGAACTGAACTAGAACTGAACTAGAACTGAACTAGAACTGAACTAGAACTGAACTAGAACTGAACTAGAACTGAACTAGAACTGAACTAGAACTGAACTAGAACTGAACTAGAACTGAACTAGAACTGAACTAGAACTGAACTAGAACTGAACTAGAACTGAACTAGAACTGAACTAGAACTGAACTAGAACTGAACTAGAACTGAACTAGAACTGAACTAGAACTGAACTAGAACTGAACTAGAACTGAACTAGAACTGAACTAGAACTGAACTAGAACTGAACTAGAACTGAACTGAACTAGAACTGAACTAGAACTGAACTAGAACTGAACTAGAACTGAACTAGAACTGAACTAACTGAACTAGAACTGAACTAGAACTGAATTGGAACTGAACTAGAACTGAACTAGAACTGAGCTAGAACTGATCTAAAACTGAACTAGAACTGAACTATATCTCAATTTAAACTAAAATAGAACAGAACCATTAAGAACTCCAAACAGGGGGTATAAAACAAAACGTTTTGAAACATTTTTAAATTTTAATTTTTGGATCTTTTGATATCTGCTTTCCCTTATTAATATGTATCTTTTGTACGTTTCAGTGTAAGACATAATACTTTAAAATCACCATTAACAAGTAAACCCAACAAATCAAGGTTTGCAATAAAAATTATGTTAAAAAAAAAGGAATTTATTTTATTAGAACAAAAAATTTTTTAAAAATTTTAGAAAAAATCTCACTTTAACTAAAAGTCCAGAAGATATAACTTTTAAAAACCAACAAGGAGTTCTAACACAAAACGTCTATAACATTAATAACAATGTACAAGAACCTGCATTATATCAAGACAATCCTGTGGTGGAAATTTACCTTAACAAACCGAAAACAAAAGTGGCAGCCACACAAACACAAACTCGTCTTTGTGCCACTGTACAAGCATCCGAATTTGCCGATGAATATCGTTTTAATTGTTTCTATTGTTGTAAAACATTTCCGTTATCATACTGGAAAAAATTCGTAAATCATTTAAAAAAGAAACACTTTGAATATGAAAAAGCTTTCGAAATCAGCAAATATGTAACACAGGATCATGATTATACAGCATTAGCTTCACCAACGCCTTCTTTAGTAGATATTGATAATAATATAATAAAAACTCAAAAAGAAGATACTCTGGTTATTGAAGCTAGTTCGTTACTGCCTTATTTAGTGGAATCACTAGAAACGTCTAATAAATCTTTGGAATGTGATATTTTAAGTTCGAATTTTTGTTTAGAAACAGAGGAGGAGAATGCGGAAAATTTAAATGATTTGATAAAAGTGCCTTCGTCGGAAAAGAACAAAACAATTAAGAAAGGGAATATTAAACAAAGGAACATAAAATTTTTTTTGGGAAAAAGTAAACAAAAGGTAAGTTAAGGGCATATTTTATAAAAGTAAATAGATATATACATACATATGTATGTATATTTTGGTAAAAACTAATCTAATTAATATTTTAATATTTGAACTTTTAGGTAATCTCTTCAGGTGTACTTTATTTAAAGAACACCAAACAGGTAAGAGTTGTATTAGAACTGAACTAGAAATGAATTAAAACTAAAGAAGAATTTAACAAGCACTGACCTATAACTGAACTAGAACAGAACTAAACTAGAATTGAATTAGAACTGAACTGAATAATAATATAAAACTGAACTTTTCAAAAAGCTCATAGATACCAAAGGAGGGCTATAAAATAGAATAATTTGGAAATTAATGAGCCAAAAAATAATAATTTATCCTTTGCTTTTTAGCAAACAACAAAAACAGCTTTAAGTCGCTGTCTTAAGAGATCCAATACAATTGAAACTATCATGCCCGAGGAAAATGAATATCTTACATGTGAAGAGGAATGTGAAGAACCTTCTACTAACAAAAGGTTTCAACAGGAGAGCACTGAGGTAAATTATTTCTGGTAATACTTTAAGTAGTATATTTTATTATAGATAATAATCTTTACAGCTTTCTTTCGAATTCACACCTAGTGATATAATCAATTCACTGCTAGAAAATATGAAAAATTATCCCGTTTTATGGGAATTTGATGAACAGCAATTCAATGAAGATTACTATGAAGCCATTGAAGAATTATGTCGTAGAATCAATGAAAAATGGTCTCTAAATATAGATACTTTAAGAATGCGACGCAGTATAAATCGAGTACTGAGATTTTACTGCTCCGTCTATCCCTGTGAGAATGTGGAAAATGTTAATCAATTTACTAACTACTATGATAAATTAAATTCATTTTTGCCATCACCGGTGCAGAATATTGCTTATGCTCGCTGTTCTCACTGTTATAAATGTTTTAAAAATATCAGCGAGTTGAGTAGGCACCTGTTGGAAGAATACAAATATTTACAATGGCCCTACAAGTGTGTACAATGCAAGGAATGTTTTAGGGATATCAATGAATATGAGTTCCATAAACGCCTGCCTCACTATGAGGAAGTATTTCGTTGTGAAAACTGCAATAAGAGATTTACTCAACGGAATAAATATAATAAACATGTTGCCTCACACCAAACTAAAGAAAGTTCGATAACGGAAAAACATAAATGCGAAGTCTGTGGCAAAGTATTTAAACTGAATAGTTTATTACGGAATCATATGGTCTTCCACGGGGAGAGAAAACATAAATGTAATTTGTGTTTGAAGTCATATTATACAAGCGCCACCCTAAGACATCATATAAGAACTCATAGTAAAGACTATAGATTAATGTGTGATATATGTGGCAAGGAATTCTTACACTACAACAACCTCAAAGTACACATGACTAAACATACGGGTGACAAAGTCACTTGTAATATTTGCAATTTAAAATTAAGAAAATCTAGTCTTTTGCGACATCTCCGTACAGTTCATGTGGCCTGTGAGGGGACCATTGAAACTACCTACAGGGCGAAGAATCATCATTATAGAAGTTTATTGCAGTGGCCCAATAAACGTTATAACCACCATCGAAAATATAATAAAGAGAAAAACTACTATTGCCAAATCTGTAATATACGTTTCGAACGCTATAAATTTCTGCTCGAACACAATAAAGAAACTCACGCCGATGCCCCCAAATGGACGTGTAAAATATGCAATTCCGAATTTCGTCAAAAAATATCGATAAAACGTCATTATCGTGTAAAACATCAGTTGCATGTGTATCAGGCTTTTAAATTAGTGGATCAAGATGAAGATTTGGAAACAGTGTTAGCCATTAGAGAGGATGAATTGGAAAAATTAATGGAAACTTTATCTTATTCTTTAAATACTTCTGGTAATGTAAAAAAATTGACTCAAGCAATAGAAGAAACAAAGGATTTGACTGCCAAAGAAATGTATACTGATGAGAAGGACGAAACGCTGCACAGTGATTTAAACCAAGAGCAAATATTGTTAGTAACGGATGATGTAAATACAGAGACAAATGAAATTAAAATCGTTGATGTCGATGATCATTATATGAATGAGTTTCTTACAAATCTTTTAAAATAACCAAAGAAAAGGCCTTCAAGGATAGGGTTTTAGAGTAAATTTTGTTTGTTTATTAGCTAATTAATGACTTGCATTTTTTAATTACATTATAGTATAATGGTTAAACAAATTATATATTAAAAAATGTTTAATAATCAAATTAAACCAAATGAATTGTTATTAAGCAGAAATTTGTAGCATATAAGCTAGGTAATTGAATACTGTTAAATACATATTATAATTAAATTATAATTGTTTTAAAAATATGTAAATTGTTTTTTAAATGGAAAATTAAAAATTGGACATGAATAAAATGTTTAATCTCATAACTTTGAGATAATTTCAACAGATTTAAAATGATCTCAAAGATATGTTCGAAATTTTAAAACTTTTTCAGTTTAAAAATGCTTATTTTAAAAGCTTTAACTTCAAACCATATAGTAAATCTATTTTAATTATCATTACGTGGTATTCATACCGATACTCTATCTTCGTATCGCTGGCTACAAAAACATAATATTTGTTAATAAAATTTGTCAAATTGCATATATAAAAAATAATCTCTCACAACTGACATTATCGAACTCCTCACAAAGACGCAAAGTATATTAATAAAGTAGCATCACTTGAACAGCTGACTATTTTTTTAAACTAGATAAATGAAGCAAGTTGTCAAAGTTTGTTTTGAAAATTTTTAACATTGTTTACGTCGCCATTTTTAAATTGTGTTTTGCTATTTGTTAAAATTTGTGAAAAGTAGAAAAAGTGAATTAAAAGTGGTTTTAAAGTAGTTTAAAAGTGTAATAATATGTATAATATATAATAATATAATTAAATAGTTAATATTTTTAACTTAAAAGTAATATTTTTTATTTATGTTTTGTTCACATTGTTGTTCCAGGAAATTTTATTTTGACACAATCTTAAATTATTCCAAAAACAAAATACATGTGGTTGTTGTAGATGTTGTTGTACAACAAGAGATGTCGCTACTTTATTAATATACTTTGCAAAGACGTAATACAAATTCGCCTTAGCTGTCAGAATATTAATTTTTTCAAGTTATCACTTTATGGTGAATAACATCAATAAATAAATAAAAGCAAAAATCAGTAAAAAAGTACTTTCTGAATAAAATTAAACAATAATTTTGAAATTAAATCATTAAAAAAACAAAATGTTAAAGATTTGTGCAATTGGTTGTCCACAAGGCAATTCTCTTTATAGATTTCCTTGCACAGAAAAAGACAAAGAAAGGTAAAATTCATATGCTTAATACAAAGTTTTCTTTTCTTTTGAAAGTGCTTTAATTTTTGCAGAAGAAAGTTATGGTTGGACTATTTTGATATGGAGGAACCAAATACTAAGAATGTCTTTGCTTGTGAACGACACTTTTCACAATTCCAAGCCACTCCAAAGGGTATTAAAAGAGATGCTGTTCCAGATGTACCGTAAGTATTAAAAGTGTTAACTATGTGGCGTTTTTTAATGTAAGGAAATTGTGCAACAAAGAGTTCTACGGTGGACTTTTGAAAAATTTAACTATTTTCTGAATTAAAGAGTCTTTCATCAAAAAAAATTAAGAAATTACTTCTCTTAAATAGGTTTTTTTGCTATTTATATTAATTTCAGAATTATATACAATAATCCAAATCCTCCATTCAGAAGAAAAACCAAAAATTGGAGGTTTGTATAATTTAAATATAAAACAATATCGTAGTAACAAATACTAAAAATATTTATCTGTAGGCAAAATGTCACTGTCGTCACACCACGAGATCCGGAATATATAATATATCGTAAACAAACTGGAGTTTTTAAGCAACAGTTAAAGGATAAATCTAACTTAAAATTACCCTTTATAAAAACGATAGCTTGCTCAATGTCAACGCAAACTAATACACGTCTCTGTGGCTTGGTGCAAGTTTCAGAATTTGTAGACGATTTCCGTCTTAATTGTTTCTATTGTAATGAAAATTTTCCTTTAGAAAAATGGTCCAAATTTGTTCAACATTTGAAAGAGAATCATTACGAAGAAGAGGAGGCATTTAAAAATTTTAAATATTTCTCAAAAGAACATGACTATACGCCCATATTTACCACGTCTAATAAGAAATCGAAAACTCAAACTTCTCAAGCTAATAATAAAGTTTCAGCACTACAAACTTCAGGTCTAAGCGGTACTTCACAACAAGAAAAATCCTATATTAGATCAACTGATATGTTCGTAACAGAAACACCACCTTTAGAACCAGTCCCCATAATTGCAACGCCTTTATTTGCAAATTCGCCCGAACCTATAGATAAATCATTTAATATTAACCTGGCCGATAAGCTTATTAAACTTTTAGATGAAACTCTTTTAAATCCCAATTTTCATAATAACGAAAAGCAGAACTTGACAGTAGCGAACAATTTAGAAAATTTAAATAATTTTATTGCAACTAAAAGCTCAGAGCTTACACCAATGACAAATTGCTCTATTAAAGAAGCAGAGGTGGTAAAAAAACCGAAATTAGCAATTACCTTTAAAGGTACACGACCTGTTTATTCTCTTAATGGAGTTCAACAAAACATTTTATCTAGAAGAAATTCATTTTCATATGCTGCCAAGAATCGTACAGTAAAAAGAAAAAATAACGGAAAACCCATTGAGTCTATGGGTGCAATCGATGAACCACAATGTTCTAATAATGAGAAAGTAAAAGGTGATATTAAGGTGATTTCTTCGGGTATATTTTATTTAAAGGATAACAGCAGCAGTACCTTTACAAAAAGGGTAAGAAATAAAATAAATGAAAAATTAACAATTGTTTTTATATCAAAATTATTTTATAGCAAAAATCAACTAAAACTGCTTTAAGTCGATGTCTTAAAAGAGTTAATACTATGGAAATACAAACACCAACAGACGAAAAAGAAGTGGGTAAACCATTTTCATTAAAAAGTCTTCAGCAAAAACCCCAAGTGGTAAATTAAAGCAAATCAAAATAAATTCCTAAATACTTAACTACTAAAATTTCATTTTTAGCTTGTTTTCGAATACACACCACCTTGCATAATAGATTCTCTACTTGATAGCATGAAAAACTATCCAGTTTTATGGCAATTTCATGATAAACCACTCAATAAAGAATACAATAAAGCGATTGAAGATTTATGTCAAATAATCAATGGCAAATGGTCTCTGCAATTAGATGCTATACAAATGAGACGCAGTGTGAATCATGTCTTGACATTTTATCGTTATTTGTTGCCCTGCGAAAACATAAAAAGATTTAAACATTATTTTGAAAAATGTGCCCACTTTTTGCCTTCAACTGTTCAAGAAATCCCAAACGCTCGCTGTTATCTTTGTGATTCATGCTACAAAACCAATTTGGAGTTGAGGCAACATATGCAGGAGCAACACGAAGCTATAAAATGGCCTCATAAGTGTCGTCAGTGCCATGAACGTTTTAGGCAGACTGATGAATACCAGCTGCACAAACTTCTGCCTCATTATGTGGAAATATTTTCCTGTGAATTGTGCAATAAGCGTTTCAGTCGTCATCATTTATATCAAAAACATTTACAACTGCACGAGCAAATTCAAATAACCGAAAGTGGTAGTTTTAAATGTAACATATGCAGCAAGGAATTTAAAAGCAATAGTGAATTAAGATCTCATAGCATCTATCACGGCGAGAAAAAATACCCATGTCAACTATGTTCAAAAAGCTTTTTTAATAATACTGCTCTAAAGGTGCATTTAAAAAGGCACCGCAAACAATTGGACTTTGTTTGTGAAGTGTGCGGTAAGGCTTTTCTTCATCTGGCCTATCTCAATGAACACTTGGAAAGGCATACGGGCGCCAAGGTCACTTGTAATATTTGTAAGTTAAAAATGAGAAAGTGTAGTTTATTGCGCCATTTGCGTACAGTGCATGTGGCCTGCGAGGGGACCATTGAAACTACCTTTAGAGCGAAAAATCATAATTACAAGAGATTACTAAGACCAAGTCGTTATTTCAAAAATTCTAAAAGAGGAAAAGAAGTAATGCCACGTCAATATGTGTGTAAAATGTGCAACATACATTTTGATCGTCTCAAATTCCTCAAGGACCATAATATCCAATTTCATTCGGATCTTCAGAAGTGGCCGTGTAAAATATGTACATCAGAATTTAGACGTTTACAAAATTTGAAACTTCATTATCGTGAAAAACATAAACTACATGTTTATCAAATTTATAAACTAATCGATAATAATGAAGATGTACCCACGGTATTAGCCATCAAAACGGAAGAGATTGAAAAAATAACCGAAACTTTAGCATATACTTTAAACTGTCCTAGTACGGCAAATAATGCACGTTATCAAACAAAAAGAATCAAAACAGATCCCTCAGCGGGAGAGATAACTATTGAAGAGGAAAGAATGCAAGGATCTACAGCAATACAAGGTGAAATAATGCAAGCTGTTGATAACATCACAAAGAAAGAAGTAATTAATGTCGATGATGATCATACAATGACGAATTTTTTTAATTATATTTTAAAACAACCCTAAAGGTGATAGAGATTAATATGGGATTATGAATCTGTTTGGGTGTTATTTGTTGTAATTTATGAAATTATTTTGCTTATTTTGTTAATTCTGTTAAACGCTTTAAAATAAATCATATTTAACAAACTTCTCCCAATTAATGTTTTGTCCAATTAGGTAGAGCAGTTCTTGAGTTTATAAATTACGAACACAAACATTGCACTTTTATTTATATAAATTCATTTTTACGAATTTAAGTAAAAACTCGTCGTTTTCAGTAAAATTGAAAATTTTGTGAAAATTGGAATTTTTAGTGAAACTTATATTTTTTAGTTAAAATTTAATACCACTTTAAAATTTCATAAAAAATTTGATGTCTAACCACGATACAACCATAAGATTTTTGAATGTCGTCCAAAAACAATTAAATTGCTATATATGAAGAAACAAAAAAGTCAAACAAATTTGCTGATAACATACTGTATGTGTTCAAATCTGAACAAAGTTTTGACTTGAATAATATAAAAATCGTTGTTCAGATATGTAGCTGTACTTATTTTATAAGATATTCTGCAATGCCAAATATAATACTTCTTTAGTGTAGCCGAATATTGTTATTATTTCATAATTGATAATTTGGGAGCAATGAGGTATGAATTTTATATGTTTTATATCTTTAAATTTAAAAATTTCTATATATTCTAAAGTTTTGATCCGTTTTTAATACATCTGAACGTTTATCCATGAATATTGGGCTATATGCATACATATGGCAACTTTATTTACACTTGACAGCTGTTATTGTTTTCTATAGCAGCAGCAACAAACAAAAACTTCTAAATTTTTAAAGAAAAAGTGTGTAAATGTTTCTTAATAAATTAAAAAGAATGGATTAAAATATGTCTTCACAAAATAATATTCCTGTAATCGCTAAAAATGTCGATAATAATGAACAAACACCAAATAAAATTGCATATACTCTCTTGGAAGATTTGCAGAAGGAACAAAATCTTTTGACAAATGATTTTCCTATTTGCAAACAATTGATTGAGGGAGGTAGGTATTTATAGTTCAATAAAAAGAAAATATAAAAAATATATTAATGGTTTTCCTTTAATGTATTGAAGCTTTAGAGCGTTTCTATGCTACTGGTATAGCCCCTGGCTGTGAATTGTATGCTGATGTTTTAAATCAAAAACTTATTAAAATTCATCAGAAACTAGTACTGCCTACTAATTTAAATAAAATAAATTTCACGGTGAAAGAAAGGTGCTTAAAACAACTTGAGGATAAGACACAATGTAAGATTCAAATCAAAGGACGTAATTCCATGCTGGACACGACTATGGAAGAAGAACTAAGACTATCAGGAGATGTGCGTTACAAACACTTGAAACGAAATCTGTATTTAGAACTAACTACGGAGGCTACTCCCATAGAATGTTATACACGCATGGCTCATGCTTTAGCTGAAATACGTTTTCTAATACTCGATAAAAATGAGCTGCTATTTGAAGATGAATTAAGTGAAGAGATAAAAATTGAAACAGAAGTAACGTAAGTTTGTCTAATTCATAACAAAATGAGTATCTTCTCATAACATTTTCTTACATTTAAGGGGTGAGCGTTTGGATCATGACCCCCTTCAAATAGTTTTTAATGAACCTATGCCAGCGCCAGACATAAATAAACCCCAGACAGTAGAAACCAAAACTCCTATGTTTAGCTTAGCTAATAAACTTATTAAGTTATTAGACGAAACAGTTTTAAATCCCAATTTTCAACAGACAGAAGAGGAAAATACGAATATATCCCAAAACATAGATAGTTTTATTGCTTCCAAAGAGCCCATCAACAACTTCTTGTCAACAGCTAGTAGTACTAACGTGGAAACTATAAATATAACAAACCCTTCTATAAAAACTCGATCACAAAGTAAAATTAAAAATTTAAATAAAACAAAAAAACGTATAACAAAAAGAAAACTAACAAAATCTACTTATAAAACTAAGTTGGTTAAAACAAGTTTTAAAGCCAAGGTATTGTTTGTTGTATTTAAAAACTTTTAAAAATTTTAAATTAATCACTTTTATTTTAGAATAGTTTTGCTGGAATCTTTTATATAAAAGATAAAACTACTAATAAAATTATAAAACGTGTAAGTAATTAAATTAAAGTTATTAACAAAATATTTAAACTAATTTCCTAAAAAAATATTTCAGCAAATTTTCAATAAAACAACTTTAAGCCGCTGTCTTAAAAGATCCGATAAAGAAATAACACAGACAGATAACGAAGTTTTATGTGAACCGTTCACTATAGATTATTTGCAAAAAAATCCCACAGAGGTAAATTAAAAATCTTACTTCATACCTACATTTTATAATGAACCCTTATCTATTTACAGATTGTTTTTGAATATACTCCGCGCGATATAATAATCTCTTTACTAGACACTATGAAAAACTATCCAGTTTTGTGGGAATTTCATAATAAACCTTTCAATGAAGACTTTAATGAAGCAATTGAAGATTTATGCCAAGAAATCAATAATAAATGGTCACTACAAATAGATTCTTTGAAAATGCGTCGCAGCATTAATCGTATATTAAGATTTTATCGTTTTTTGTTTCCCTTTGAAAGTATGGAAAAGTTTTCAGACTATTTTGAAATATGTGCTGGCTTTATGCCCTCCACTGTAAATGAAATACCGTATGCTCGCTGTTCTCACTGTTTTCTCTGTTTTAAATATGATTCTGAGTTAAGAAGACATTTGTCGGACGAACACAAGTCTTTAAATTATCATTACAAATGTAAATACTGTGGAGAACGTTACGCCGATAGTCAGGAATATGAATTTCACAAACATCTGCCACATTATGAGGAAATATTTCACTGTGATCATTGTCACGAAAGATTCAATCGTCGGAATTATTTAACAAGGCATTTAATCAAACATGAAACAAATCCGGTGGAACGTAGGAATCATGTCTGTGACCTTTGTGGTAAAAAATTTAAATCGGGCAGCGAGTTGAGCAATCACAAATTATATCATGAAGAAAAAAAATTCAAATGTAATCTGTGTTCGAAGTCCTATTTTAAAGACTTCACTCTTATGTTACACATGAAGACTCATCGCAATCAATACGATTTTATATGTGAAGTGTGCGGCAAGGCATTTACGCAACAAAAACTTCTGAATGAACATTTGGTTATACACAATGACATACAAATCACATGTAATATTTGTAATTTAAAATTAAGAAAACGTAATCTCTTGCGTCATCTGCGTAGTATACATGTGGCGGTTGAGGGCACTATTGAAAGTACATTTCGAGCAAAAGGTCATCGTCACAATGAACTCATGGGTAAAAAGCGGGTCTTTAAGCCTAGAACTAAATCAGGAAAAATTTCAAATCATTCTATCGAACCGAATGCCAGACAATATAATTGTAAACTATGTAATATACCCTTTGAACGTCTCAAATTCCTTAAGGAACACAATGTGGAATGTCATACAAATATAAATAAAGTAGCGTGTAAAATATGTGATTCCCATTTAATCCATAGAAATAATATAAGAAGACACTATCGTGAAAAGCATAAGATCGATGATGATAAAATTGATAGCATTCACGATGAGGAAACAGATAATGATATCGTACTCTCAATGACAATAGAAAAAATGGGAGAACTTTAGAACTTAAGCCAAAGGATATAACTTAAGCAGTTATCATTCATTCAAACCGTTTTTTCTTTCTTTATTTTTACAAACCAAACTCTAATACAAAAAATATGTTTGAAGAAAAAATTATTAATATATTTTATACCATGATTTTAATTAAACAGAATATGAACAGGGGTTTCAAGAAACAAGTCGAATAAAATAAGGACCGATTTTAACCATTTTCAATAGAAAGTGATTCTTGGCCGATTTAAGGTGGGTGTAGAACCAATATTTTTGGGTGTCACAAACATCAAGACAAATGCATAATAACACTCCCTAATCCTAATACATATATAAAATATTGTTCAAATGCTTTAAGCCTAAAGAAATACTTCATTATTTAGTTAATGTAATAACGCCAGAACTATTCCATAAATTGGAAGAAATAGTCCCACGACGATTGGAAGTTGTTTTTAAAAACAAAGGCTACTATACAAAATATTAATTTAATTTTAATTAATTATTTTTACTTCATAATGGTAATCTAAATATGATGCATACAAAAAATTCGAATACTTTAGTAAAGCTATTTTATGCACTTTTTAAAAAAAAAGGCTAAATTAGTTTAAGTAAATTATTGGACAAAATAATAAATTTATTTTTTTTTGAATACTTATATGAGACACTGTATGTAGTTTTATTTTCTACACAATCAACAAAAACAATAAAAAAATCATTTTGGAAAAAGAAAAAATTATTTTTTAGTAAAAATACTTTTTTGATTTATTAATATTATTATTGTTTTAAAAGTTTATTTTTTTTTTTTTCTAAAAATTTTCCTTTTGTTTTTGTGTTTTCTAAATTTCATAAATTATTTAGTTTGCATTAGAAAAACCGCTAAAGTAACATCATTTGTAGTTCTTTTTATAAAATCAAAACAAAACTGTAGCGTTGCCAAATTATTATTTATTGAATTATTCATTAAAATAAACAAAAAATAATGCCGAAATATTTTAGAATTTCAGTATAAATTTTAATAAACAAAAGACAAACAGCAGTTTATGTATGGACTTCAACAAAAATGTTATTGTGTATGACGGTAGCAGTGTAAATTTTAATCACTTTGCCTTGCGAATTTCTTCTAAATGGAAAAAATTCCATATATCCAGGGGAAATTTTTCACTTATTTTTTCACTAGAAACTCTGAAAACAAATAGTAAAAACCAAAAACAACAAATTTACTATGAATTTAATTTGGCTAATGCCTTTTCGTGAAAAACTTTATTAATTTGCGAAAAAAGTTCACAAAATATACAATGGAACAAAAGAAATGTGCTGATATACCGTAAGTGCGAAATTATTAATATTTTTACTTCCAAAGATAGCTGTTACTCCTTCCAGTATAATATGTAATGCAGCCACATCATCCTTTCAAAGAAAAATGGAAAATTGGAGAAAAAATGTTATAGTGGTCACTCCCAAAGACCCAGAGTTTGTAATTTATCGTCATGAAACGGGAATATATCCACAAAATCTTTTTAGTGAATCTACAATAGTTCAGCCCACAATGCAAGTTCCTGTGATTAAATCAGTTTCATGCTCTATGTCCACACAAACGAATACACGACTCTGTGGTTCTGTACAGATTTCAGATATCACGGAGGAATATCGTTTAAATTGTTTCTATTGTACAGAAACATTTCTCTTACATAATTGGTCCAAATTTGTTAAACATATGAAAGACAAACATTTCGCACAAGAAGAAGCTTTTAAAATGTCTAAATATCTTTCACAGGACCATGACTATACCTCCATAGAAACTCCTTTAGCAGAGCCAGTTAAACCTGTAATAACCTTAAACATGGTTACTAATCCTATTTTAGAAGTACCTAATCCACCTGCGCCGGTTTTCAAAGAACCCATTTTAACGAAACCCTTATTAAACAAACCACAGAAGACTGCAAGCGTTTCTAAGAAATTAAATTCACCGCCACCTTTATATGCTAAACCCGCACAGCCGATTGAGAAGAAACCATTTAATATAAGTTTAGCTGATAAGCTTATTAATCTTTTGAATGAAACCGTTTTGAATCCCATTTTTATGCAAACAGAAGAGGATAACATTGTAATTATTAAAAATACTGGCTCCAGTAATATAGAAACAAGTAGTTTTTTAAAGAATTTTATGAATTGCGATACTCCAAAGCCTAAAAAGGCGCCAGAGACCAGTAAAATAAATACTTCTGCAACTGCACCATATACGTCAAACAGACATACGCGTCCCATTTATACTTTAAACTATGGCCAACAGAATGTTCCATCAAGGAGACCATCGTTTTCTGGCAACTTTTTACCGCCAACACTATTGAAAAATACCAAATTACAAAAAAGAGTTGCTAAACGGACTTTGAAAGAAATAAATGCATTTGAAAAGGTTTATAAAACAGTGAAAACAAGACCTCCGAAGGTAATATACAAGTTTTTTACTATAATATTTTTTTACTTAATATATTTGTATATTTTTTTAGGTTCTCGGCTCAGGTGTACTTATTTTAGATGATCTAATTAATACTAACAAAGCTAATGAACGGGTAAGAAAAAATTCTTTAAAAATATAAACTGCTAAAATATTAAAATAAAAATGCCTGCAGCAAACATTAAACCAAACTCCATTAAGTCGTTGTCTCAGGAGAACGGAAAGCATGGTAACAGAACCTGACAATAGAAACTTTTCTTTAGAAAGTGCCAAACAAAAGCCCATAGAGGTAATGTAAATCAAAATGTAAATACTTTCCAAATTTAAATACATTTTCTTTATTTTCAGCTTGTTTTTGAGTTTACACCCGAGGATATAATTGTTTCACTGCTGGAGTATATAAAAGATCATCCAGTTTTATGGGAATTTCATAACCAACCATTCAATAAAATGTATAACAAAGCCATCGAAGAAATATGTACGGCAATTAACAGCAAATGGTCACTAAATATAACTCCTTTGAAAATGAGACGCAGTATTAATCGAATATTAAGATTTTATCGTTTAATGCTGCCTAGAGAAAGTATTGATCATTTTGAGGAATATTTCAATAAATGTGCCCTATTTTTACCAACTTCTATAGATAAAATTCCGCGTGCTCGTTGTGACTACTGTGCTGTATGTTACGAAACAGATAGCGAGCTGCGAAAACATTTAATCGAGAAACACAAATCTTTAAAATGGCCTTACAAATGTCAGCAGTGCCGCGAACGTTTTAGAGAACGTGATGAATACGAGTTACACAAACACCTGCCACACTATGAGGAAATTATTAAATGTGAACAATGCCATAAGAGATTTAATCGCCGTAATTTATACAATAAACATATAAGTTCACACGAACAAACCCTACTGCGGCGTTTAGAAAGAACGTTAAATAATCAAAAACCTGTAAAGGTATTCCATGCCTGCAAATTTTGTAGCAAGACATTTTCAAACAGCGAATATTTAAATCGTCATGAACTCATTCATACTAGGCGTTTCAATTGCAATCTCTGTTTCAAGACTTTCAGTTTAAAATCTACCCTGAAGGAACATTTAAGGAGACATAGTCAAACATTAGACTATATGTGTGAAGTGTGCGGGAAGGGCTTTATCCGTAAATCAAGCCTCAGAGAACACATGGATACACATACTGGCGAAAAAATTACCTGCAACATTTGCAATTTAAGATTAAGAAAATGTAGTTTACCCCGACATTTGCGCCTTGTGCATGTTGCCACTGAAGGCACCATTGAAAGTACATTTCGTTCGAGATGTTATCAATACAAAAAATATTTATATCCTACTCGTCAAGGAATCAAAAGAGTGGAAAATTTACCACGTCAATATGTATGTAAAATCTGTAAAATTTCATTCGACCGTCTTAAACTGCTCAAAGATCACAATAAAGAATTTCACACAGATGTTCACAAAACTCCGTGTAAAATTTGTAATTTCGAATTTAAATATATTCCTAATCTCAAGCGACATTATAAATATAAGCATAATCTACACAAGTATCAAATTTTTAAGTTAGTCGATCAGAATGAAGATTTAAATACTGTGTTGGCAATGAATGAAGAAGAGTTAGAGAAAATTACGCACGCAGAATTGGTGGCAAAATTAACTATAGAGCAATCTAAGGCGAAAAACTATGTTTCTACAAACGATAAGAATTACTTTGAACCGGAAAGAATGAACAGTAATAAGATACAGGATGAAATAATGAAAGCTGTGGAAAGTATAGATCAGCAGGATATTAAAATTGATGATGATCATTCAATGAATGAGTTTTTTACGGATCTCCTGAAGCAGTAAAATAAAATAACAGTGGCCGGTTCCATTTAAATATTTTGTGTGTGAAACTAACTGTATTTGTTGTAAATAAAAATAAATGGCTTTTATTTAACACGTTTAAAGTTTTCAAAGATTTTCTATGGAAAACTTACAGTAATTTTTTCAAACTTAGAATTGACGATTTATGTATTTCCAATAAATTTTTAATTACAACCTTTTTTCGACAAGTTTTTAAGAGCAAAGTATTCAAAATTTGTGTCATACAAATATGTATTTTATTAGAAAACTGTTTGAGTTTTCAATAGAAACATTTTCGACGTATTTTGATAGAGCTTTTTTTGAACGAGTTTTAAGATAAAATTTTATAATGAAAAAGTTTCGACGAGTTTTTAATAGTAAAGTTTTTTGTGTATATGGTCTTTAAGAGAAAACTATTTTCAATGGAAAATTTGATTGATTTGACTATTTTTTAATAGAATACTATTCGACAAGTTTTTAACAGAAAGCTTAATTTATACAAGTACATATTTCGAAAGTTTTAAATAGAAATGTCAATGTATTTTTAACCGAAAACTTTCCGATGAGTTTTCAGAAGAAAATTTTCGACAAGTTTTAAATGGAGAAATTGTCAATGAGTTTTTAACTTTTCGATAAGTTATTAATGGAAAACTTTTTAAGCAGATCTTTAATAGAAAACTTGTGAACAAGTTTTCAAAAGAAAGAACGAGTTTTTATCACAAAATTTTTCGATGAGTTTTCAGTAGTTTATTTATCAACGAGTTTTTAACAGAAAACTTTTCGATTAGCTTTCAGTACAAAAGTTTTAAATAGAAAACTTGCGAACGAGTTTTGAATATAAAACTTTCGAGAAGATTTTCGATATAAAATTTTAGGTTTTCAATAACTTAACGGTTTTCAGCAAAAAATTTTACCAAGAGTTTACATTAAACAACCTTCCTACAACTTCTTTACAGATATTAGTCGACAAGTACTTCTCATATTTCGAAGGTTTTAAACCCTGAAATAATATATTGATAAAAAAGATAATTAGTGGAAAATTTATATACCATGATTTCAAAATAAATTCCTTGTGATTTAGGTTAAGAAATAAAATTGGCGCGTGTAAACACGCCCTCAACTTTAACTCAATACAACTCTACAAATACCAAGTATTGACTACTCAAGTAATCATTACTTTTACACCCAGCAGCAGTGTTGCTGACGTCAAATCTGACGTTTTAGCAATTGCAGGAAAAAAGCGTTTTAGCGGTTAGCGGGAAATTTGGAGATTTGTGGTTTGTGGATATTTGTGGCAATTTATTTGTAATATTGAATATTTCACTTATAAAATGGAGTAATTACAAATAACTATATTCTAGTCTATAGTCTAGTCTATTGTCTAGTCTATAGTCTAGTCTATAGTCTAGTCCATAGTCCAGTCTAAAGTCGTGTCCATAGTCTAGTCTAAAGTCCAGTCCATAGTCTAGCCTATAGTTTACTCTATAGTCTAGTCTATATTCTAGTCTGTAGGCTAGTATAGAATCAAATCCAGTATAGTTTATAGTCCAGTATTTAGTCAAGTTTATAGTCTAATCTAGAGTGTTGACTATATTCTGGACTACTTTCGGTAACCTAGTCTATAGTCGAGATTATTATTGATTAGATATTTATTCAACTTGACGTTTTCCATCGGCTTTAAAAAAAAACAAATTCTGAAGGTTTCTAGCGGTTTTTGTGACATGGTTTTACGGAAAATGTTGGAAAAATATTGGCAACACTGCCCAGCAGGAAAATCATTTCGAGAAAATTGTATGTGTGTTTCAGTTTGTTTTTTATACTAAAGATAAATAAGAAAAAATTATTTAATATGTCGAATGAAAGCAATCGCGATGAAGTTGGTCCTGCTGGTTATCAACCAAAAATTAATGATGTGGCTAAAAATTTCTTAAATGATCTGCAGAAAGAACGTGACCGTTTATCGGAGGATTTTCCATTGTGTGCCCTTCTGATTGATGAAGGTATGGGCAATGTACAATTTTAAAATGGCTACCATGACAAATAGTGAACAAATGCAGCTAAACTCATATACAGTTTTGTGACCGAAAAATGCATATTTTTATTTATGATTATTATGCTGGTTTTGATTTAGCTTATGGAAATATATGTATCTCTGAATTTTTTAGGATTAGTACTTAAGATAGTGCAAAGTTGTAGTATGTATACATGAAACAAAGAATATGTGTATATTAGTCATGTGGACAAAAGGTCTAAAATTAAAAAAGGTAAAGGTTTTTTTTAAAAACTGTATTTTTGTTTGGAAGTTATGCAGAAAAAAGTTGTATGGACAGAATAAGGACTAGATAATGGAGCACTTGGAGCCATTTAAACGTTCTCTCAAATGATATATCGCATATTATACATTCTATATCCATTTTGTTTACATTTTTTATTTAAATTTAGCTTTCGATCGTGTCTATTCGACTGGTCGCATACCCGGTCGTGAATTCTTTGCCGACGTACTCAAACAAAAACCCATGAAACTTACCCAAAAAGTTTTCGTACCCGTTAAACAGTATCCGAAATTTAACTTTACGGGAAAAATATTGGGACCCAAAGGTAACTCCCTAATACGTTTGCAGGATGAAACACAATGTAAGATAACGATCAAAGGACGCAATTCGATGCGTGACAAGGTCAAGGAAGAAGAACTGCGAAAATCAAACGATCCACGTTTTAGTCATTTACATAAAGATCTTTTCTTGGAAATAAGTACTGTAGCAACGCCGGCCGAATGTTATGCACGTGTGGCGTATGCCTTGGCCGAAATACGTAAATATCTTATACCGGATAAAAACGATGAAGTCTCCCACGAACAGTTGCGAGAAATAATGGAAATTGATCCGGAATTAGCTAAGGCAGGCTATGGTAATCCAGAAGTTTATAAGTGAGTTACTTAGAATTAAGATTTAGAACTTTATATTAGTATTAAATCCATTGGAAATGTGTACTTTTAGAACTGTATTTGACAAGGCAGGAGGTTCTAAGGGAACACCAAGATATTTGGGTTTATTAAAACATACTTCATACGCAGAGTGAGTATATAGAAAGAGAACTTTTTATTGAAAAAAAGAAAAACAACATTAATGACACAAGTTTTTAATAAAACCTAATGCCTACTTACTGGATGATGGTTTTAATTGGTCTATATGACCTTAAAGTTTTCATTGGGTTTCCATATTTTTATAAAAACTTTTATTTTATATTTATTGCAAGAAATTTCTAAACATTTTATTTCTTCTTTCTTACCGTATGACAATTTAGACGTGAGGAATTGGAAGATGAATACGAGTATGAACATATTTCTCATGCCCCACCACCGCCCAAAAGACCATCAAGTTCAAATGGTTACGAGTATGTTAAAGGTAGGTTATTATATTACAAATAATAAAATTTAACTTTTATAAATAATTAATTTTAAAACACCGAGTGCAATTTGTTTATACAAAATGCAAAAAACAAAATTTTTGTTCAAATTTAAAGGAAATTTTCATTAACATTTTTACATTATTCATTTCATTAAAAAAACTTTCGTTCATAACTTAAACTCTTGAAAATAAATCCCTACGTTTCTTTAAATAAATAAAACAATAAAATAATATATCTAAAAATAAAAACATAATTTCCCGGAAAAATGTATTAAAATTTGTTGTTAAAAACTGGACTTCAACATTCGATCAGCAACTTGGAAACAACTGCTGTTTCTATTTATACCATTTAAAAGAATTTGAAAGAGTGTTCAAATTTGTGAATTTCTATATTTGCTTCCACTTTAGGGTAATGGATCACATATTAGTATCTAAATAACTTAAGATAGAGTAAGATTTTAATCGATATCGAATGTTGCAAATTGCTATTTGGTTATTGAATCGATCTGCTCAAGAAAAAATATCAATTCATAATTTTTCCATAAAACCAATTGCGGAAGAGAATATTTGAAAAACCATTGATCTCAATTCCAAACTGACAGGCAAAATGCAAACCTTTTTAAACTAGTTGTATAACTAATACATTTTTTCCGGGAAATGAATGTTAATAATTTTGTAAAAATAAAAATATAAATATATAAAAACTATTACACTTTATCTGAAATAATAATATCTTACTGGTATGTGCTGGAAATCATCATAAGAAAACGTTTACAAGAACAAAAAACAGTACCAAAATAATTTTCCACTAGACTTTAGACTTGAATGTAGACTAGACTATAGACTTCATTATAGACTAGGCTATATACTAGTTTAGACAATAGACTAGACTATAGACAAGACTGTAGACTACACTACAGACTAGACTATAGACTAGACTGTAGACCAGACTATAGACTAGTCTATAGACTATACATATACTTGACTATATATTTGCCTATAGACTAGTTTATAAATTAGACTATGGACCGGGTAATTGTATATATAATTGTATATAGACTATAAATAGGACTATTGAAATAGAGTAGACTATGGACTAGACTATATACTAGATTATATACTAGACTATAGACTAGACTATATACTATTGAATTAAGTTACTTTATCTCTAATTGAGTTTAAAACATTTGAATCTTGATTTACATTACATACCTAAATATAACGCAAATAACCAAACTCATATATAAACAAATAAATTTTTATAGTTCCCTCATCTTCGAAAGGATACAAACGTACTACTGTACCAGTCTATACAGAAAGCAAACGCATACGTGAAGTCAGCTCTTCATCTAAACCGTATAATCCAAATATAAAATCATCACATATGTATGGTATATTAAAAAAACATAAATAAATGTTAAAAAAAATAATTAACTAATAATAATGAAAAAAACAAAAAAATAATAATACATAATAATATAAAATAAAATTTATATAATAAATTAATAACATAAATATGAAATATTAAAGAAAATAAAGAATTATACTAAATGTAAAGATTACAAATATAAGACAAATATTTACTTATAAATAATATAAAACCAAGTTACCATTTTATTAACAAATGGTTAAAATATATAATATAAATTATAAACAGCTTTATGTCTATTAATATAATAAAAGTCTTATTTTGTTTAAAATACAACAAAATTAAAAAAAAAAAATAAAAATTATTAACATTTGAAATGCATTTGGCGCTTTGCAAAATAAGACTCAAATATTCTCAAAATTCTAAGCAAACTTGATAACCATAAAATAAAATATCCTAAATATAATTTATATAGAAACCTGAACGCTTTTATAAAACAATAAAAGCGTATGAGATGGTAGAAATAAAATAAAAAGAAATGTATCAATTATTATTTTCTATAATTACCATACATATTTATCATATAAACTAACATTTATTTAAAATTATTATAAAAAATAAGTAAACATAATAATGTAGCAAGAAACCTGATCATAAAATCGCTTACAATCAAAGAGCGTTTACTATGTGATGGTAAAAATAAATTTTAACCAGAAAAATGTATTAATTATTTAATTACCCATAATAAAATACATAATATTAATTTAAAATTAATATAACTTAAATAATAAATAAGTAAATAATATATACATACTTTGAAATAAAACAAAAGTTTAGCTGTTGGCAAGGTAAGTATTTTATAAGATTTAATGTTTAGTTTAAGATTTATTCATTAGTTTTTTAACTATTAATACAAATTCATTCAATAAAAATATTTAAAATACAAAATAAATTAAAATTGTTTTATTTATCTTAAAAAAATAAAAAGCATAAACTATTAATGCTTTTCAACTTGAGAGCTTTAACTTTGTAAACCGAATTCGCAATCTGTTTCCCTGAACCATAGCAATGGATGGTATGATTTAAACATATATCCTCGCGTATGGAAGTTAGTAATTATTCTCAGATCCTTGCAAACAATATTGTTACATTTTCTTAATATTATGTTTTAACTTCATATGCGTTTCATAGGCTTCTTTATGTATAAATTCCAATGAACAATAATCACAATAGTACATTATAACATCTATTAATTTAAAAGCGTCATTCTTTGCCATACTCTCATCAGTCTTATAGTTTTCCTGTATATGAACCAATTGATGTTTCCTTAACGTTTTATAGCTGGTAAAACGTCGTCCGCATATTTCACAAGTAAAATTATCGACCGACTTCCCGCCTGACATTTCCTGTTCCTCATGCAACCATATATGTCTTTTATAACGATATTTTTCATAGAATTTCTTTTTACAAAACTCGCATTCATACGCCGGCAAACTGTGACTCTTCAGATGAACATTTAAATTCGTTTTAGTTTTATAGGCCAAACCACAAATGTTGCATTTATAAGGCTGTCTAGAGGAATGTGTTGCCAAATGTTTAATATAATCCGATTTGGAGGATGCTTGATACAAGCAGTTACTACAGGGCCAGACATGTAGCTTTATATGGCGATTCTCGTGCATTTTATGTGATGACTGATGTATAAAACCATGACCACAGTAGCGACAACGAAATGGTACCTGACCATTATGCTGCTTGTGCTTATGAGCCAATAGCAAATGTTCCGTCTTAAAACGTTTATCACACTCCTCACATTTCACAGGTTTTAAATGTTGATATGGCAGGAATTCCATTAACTTTTCAAAATATTCCCTATGCACACAAACAAATTTAAAATCATTTTGTTGACAATTTAAAAAACGTATATACTCCCGATCAAACCAACGTAATAGCGCTAAAACACTGCTACGCGTGCCTTGTGCGGTAATATTGAGATTTAAATCTTTCTTCAGTTGTTTAGTCAAGTTCAATGTACTAACGATACGTTTGTCTTTGAGATTAAAATTGTGGTGTTTATGATCCCATTGACAGGGATGTTGACGCAATAGTTCAATAAATTGTAGCATCAATTTGGAGTCTGTTGTACTTAAACGAAAAAAGCAGGTATTGATGACGGGTTTAGAAGACGACTAAAAAGGTAGAGTTTATTTATTTTTAACATATTTTGTGTTAAAATTACAATGTAAGGGTCTTGTGTAAGATGAAATTAGTGCATGAATGAAACTAAATAATTTTGACTTAAAGCTTTGTTTCCGTATTCTAAAAATTAGTAGATTGTTTCTGAAAGTTTATGTCAACCTTTTTTTTACTACTGGCTAAAAATTAAAAATCTATATTCATGACAAAAGACGCAAGACTAGACATTCTTATGGTCACGACCACAAACAACTTTATAGTCATGTTTTTTTACTTTTCCAGGGCTAACTGTTTTTCATCATTAACCAATAGCTCAACTTTATTAACATGCCTAATGAGATAATATGTATTTTAAGAGGAAAATTGTTATCCAAAACCACTATTTGAAAAATCTTTCCACTGCTAAAATCCTATTAGTTACAAAATATTAACAATTTTGATATAAACAAGGATTTAAAGAAAATATATGGCCATTTCATTGTCCATTTATATCTAATAAAATTAGGTATAATGAAATTTTAATGGTCCTTTTAATCTAGATGACATTTGAGATTATGGGAATGTAAATGAGTTTATATTTTGATATATGTACAATAAAAAATAAAATTTGAACTTACTTTTTTCGTAATAAAATCTTCGCCATTTGTAGAGCGTTTTTTGCATTCCTCGTAATATTCCTAAAAAGAAAAACTAATTTTAAGTGTATTCTATAAAGGAAACCATTAAGCTATTGTACCATTAAATACTCCTCTAGAAACTCTTCTTTGTTTTCACACTCTTCACCAACATTGTCTAACGTTTCATTTTTAACTAAATATTCACTTTTAATTTCACATTTTTTCCCGGAATTTTGATTACATTTTTCCAATTGGATATTTTCTTTATATTCTTTTGTTTCAGATTGTTCCAATTCTATGTTTTCTGTATAATGTCCTAATAAATGTTTGTAAAATTGTATCCACTCAGCAAAATCTTTGTTACAATACAAACAATTTATTATAAAGAAATTTGTATTTTCTTGAGTAAAATAAATATAAACACGAGCACATTCTGTCAAATTATTAGGCAAAAATGTTTGCGGATCCATAATTCCACTAAGAATTAAATAGCAATACTTCAATTGTTTAAATAGGAATACTTCAATTGTTTACAAAATAAATAAAAGAAAATTACAAACAAAATCCAATCAGAGCCCTGTGCTGACATATATTAACGACGGCGGCGGGTGACACTAAAAATATCGGCGGTGGTTTAAAATCGACTGTAAGTTTTTAAATAAACATAAAATCCGAAAGATTAATAAAAAGTGGGATTTTGGAAAAAAATATTTTTAAAATCGGGATTGTTAACGAGATGTCCGTCTGTCTGCTAAAATAAATTTTCTGAAGACCCAGATATATTCGAAATGCAAATTTTAAATAATTCTGTCAGACATGCTTTCGAGAATATTCCTATTTAAAATCAGCAAAATAAATAAAGGCGCCTATGCTTAGTCGGCTTTAAGCCGAATCGGAGCGGGTCTCTGAATCCAATACAAAACACTTTCAATAGGAAACTTAAATCACTTTGAAATGATAACAAAACAAATGTTGCCATATATTTTTTTCACAATTTCAATGTTCAGATACATATGGTAAAAAATTTAAGCGAAAATATTTTTTTTCCTAAGAAAATAAATAATAAAAAATGATTTTAATAAGGCATCGATGCAAAAAATTTTCATTACTGCTTTTCATCTCTATAACGCATTTTTAGCAAACATTGTTGCCATGCTCAATAAATTATAGTCAGATTTCGGCACTGTGCATACATCTTAGCAAATTTTGGAACTGATTTACAGCTTTCAAATTCATACATTAATATGTTTTGATATAATTATGCGAAGTCCAAAATCATCTTAAATTAAAAAATTTCTAGAGAATTATAGCATTAGTTTAACATGCATCTGGCAACTCTGGCAATATGTGAAATTCTCTCCTTTATCAATTATTGAAATTTTTCTCATCTTGACATTTGTCATTATTTTGTGTGAATTTTCTTTGAGTGCGTCTTTCTTCACAAAAAAAAGAAAATTTTGCATTTCCCTTAAAAAATCGTGAAAAACATATAAAATAAAACAAAAATTAATAAAATAAAAGTAGAATTCAAAGATTTCTGCGGTCTAGCAAGCAAAGAAACCCCAATGTTAAGATGGGTGACAAGAAATTCGTACAGGATTACACCCTGGTGTGTCGGACATGTCTGCAAGGAAATGTGGAATTGCTGAATTTAAGCGCGCTTATCAGTGATAATATACATGAGGAAAATACGAAAATTTCTTATTTGGAATGTTTAAAAATGTGCATACAACTGGAGGAGACGCTGGACATAGAAATGCCGCAAAAAATTTGTTTAGAATGTGCATCGGCCCTGCAAGTCGCCTACTGGTTCATGAAAAATGCCAGTCAAGCCCAGGAGCTGTTGAAACTAAAGTTGAGGGAAATCAAACGTAAAAAGCAGCAATTTGAAATGGAGGTGAGTTGGTTAACAAAATATTCTTGAATTTTTATAATTCTAAATACAATTTTTTACTAAATTTAGTTGGCGGCAGAAGTTAGAAAACCTAAACGTTATCGTTGTAAAATTTGCAATGTAAAAGTGGAAACTAAGAGATCCCTTAAAGACCATGTTAAATTACATTTAGGTGGGTAGATAGTCTAAGATTTAAACAAAATTAATAATAATTTTTTTATTTTTTTTATATTAAAGATATTATTGTTTACAACTGTCAAATGTGTTCCTTTGAAAGTCATAATCGCAATGGCTTAGCCGAACATTATATACAAGTACATGGTATAGAAGCAACAAAGGAACAATTGAAACCTAAAACCAAGACATCAGCCACAACCTCCTCCTCATCCTACATCGCTACATCAACAGCCATTTATTGTAATCAAGAACAAATGATGGGTGCCATAAAAAATGAACATTTTCAAATATTACCCGAAGATGCGCAACAGCAACAACAGACTTCTTATGAAACCTTTAACACAAATACCACCTGCGACACAGGATCATTACAAATGTCCACAATTATAACAACAGCTCAACCGAATTTTAATACTTTTAATGCTTTAGTGGGTGACCAGCTTAACAATATTACAAATACTGCTGATCTGGGTATAGCCAATGAATTTATGGTTATGCCTGATGGCAGTTTAGAAAAAGTCATGAACAAAGGTATGATGATGATTCATTGTTGTTGTCACACATACATTTACAATATTTAACACTTATTTTTGTTTTTTATTGCAGGCGTTGTTATAGAATATATAAATACACCTAATAATGCATCAAATATAACTTTGGATAATGGTTTAGATTTAGACAATATAATACAGATGCAAAACATGGATAATTCAGTTATAATGGAACCTCAAAATGATATTGCTCAAATGGATGTGGATGATTTGATTATAGAGGATCCAGGCGAAGTGTTAGAAGAAGCACCGGGTAAGTTGAAAATTTCATTAATTTAAACAGTAGTTCGGAAAATCTTAATTGAAAATGGGAAATTTTATTTGAAATTCAGATAACTACAAATTGAAATTCGGTTGAGAACAATTGAAATTTTGTATTTATTAGTTTGTATTTTAGTTCTAGTTCAGTACTGGCTTTATATTAGTTCAGTTCCAGTTCAGCTCTAGATAATTTATAGTTCAGCTCAGTTTTAGTTCAGCTCCAGCATTTGGACTTCAGTTCTAGTTCAATTCTACTTCAGTTATAGTTTAGTTTTAGTTCAGTTATAGTTTAGTTCTCCTATATCTAGAGCCTTTAATAAATTATATTTAATACTTTATTTTTAATTTTAGAACCCATCCCTCCCCCTCTTGAAGAGGATATAATACCAGTTACCATTATAGAGCAGCCTAAAAAGATTATTTGTAAAATTTGTACCAAAGACTTCACAACACAAGAACAATTAAAAAATCACATGTTAACACACAATGGTGAGTTGGAAAGGAGAAAAAACTTGTATGTATAATTCTATATAAATTTTAAACTTTCTTTAATTCCACAGAAATTCCTCACTTCTTTTGCGATCAATGTAAATTTTATACATTTTTCAAAATCGATTTACATCAACACTATAAAAGCAAACATAATTTACAACCGACCAATAAACAATTGCAACCTAAAAACAAACAGAAAACTCCAAATGAATTCTATGCCTGTGATTTGTGCTTTTATGAAACAGACAACAAGCCGGATATGAAAACACATTATAAAGTTAAACATAATATTGAAGCAAACGAAATACATTTAAAACCAACCAAAGTGGAAAAACTCAATACCAAATTGTCGCCTTTAACGGCTAAGGCAAAAGCAGCTGCCATTGTAAGCAAAGCCACAACGGCAACAACATCTAAAAATCTTAAAATACGTTTAAACGAAGAGACAACACCCGATTATCCCAATGGCTTGAATTGTCGCAAATGTCATGAGGTATTCTATTGGCGTAATAAACTTTACGAACATTATAAATTGCATAACGCCGAAGAAGCGGCTCTCAAGCAAGAGAAGCAATATATAAAAGTGCAAAATAAGCCTACAACAGCAGGAAATCTATATCAAAACAAGACAAAGAGTTCCCCCAAAACACAAACCATACAAACGCAATCGGTAACACAGGCTCTTATGGAAACCAACCAATCTCCCTCCTACTCTAGCCTAGATTCGTTAACAGCCTTAAATGTCTCAACACCCAATAATACAACACTTAATGCAATAGCTCCTTTAACACCATCCTCCAGTTCGACTTATACCTTGCCTTCGGATGCCATACCACAAATAGTGGAAACGGAACAAACTATAGAAAATGATATGGATTTTGATTTTAATGGTGATGATGATGCCTTGTTCGGTGACTTTGATGATGATGTTGATGTAGAAAATGATTCTGATGATAATGATACAGAATTTCGTAATATTTCACTAACATCAGATGATGATTTTGATGATATGTTACAGGAACAAAATAATCTAAACAGTGGTCTAAGTACAATGGCACCTAATACCTCTCAATCATATTGTTCACACTGTCAAAAGTCTTTCTTAAGTCAATATCAATTTGAAAATCATATGTTTGTGCATAGAGGTAAGTGTTTGTGATAGGAATTTATTATATTAATGAATTGTTTGTTTATTATCTTGAAAGGGCTGGCTCCTTATCGTTGTGAAATGTGTACAAATCTTTACAATACAAAACGTTGTTTGATACGTCACTATAAAGCGGTACATAAAAGTGTACCTACCCGTGATATGATTCAAGCTAAAGGCGATAAAGGTAAGTTTTTTTTTGCTTAAATAGCTAATATTAGTTTAAAAACTTGTTATTATTTGTTGGTTTGTTTTTTTTTTTTTTTTCTCTAGTGTGTGAGGATAAAACTCCAGTAGAGCATTTAAAACTAGAAGAATCCACTTGTAAGTTATAAGACACTAATAAATGAAATTAGTTAAAAATACAATTACATTTTTTTAGCTTTGATGTGTGCTAAATGTCCTTTTGAATCAGCAGAATTAGCAGAAATCAAATTTCATCTAAATTCTAGTCATAATATAAGTGATGGTAAGCATTTTTCAAGCAACAATTTTTAAAAACATTAAATAATATTTTACCATTTTCATTTTACAGATTCATATATAATGAAAAGTAAGTATTGCTTTGAGTAGTTTCTTTCTTTTAAAATTATACTTCTTTTTTTTTCCCTCCCCTAGAACTTCCCTACGAATGTCCACGTTGCATACGTTCGTTTGCAAGTAAAGCGAAAATCCTAAGGCATTTACAACGTAATCACAGTTCAATACCAATTAATCAACATCAAATACGTTTCGAAAATAACGACAATACAATCTCAACAATGGCAATAGCAGCAACTGCAACAAACACAACGTCTGCCATCATAACTAATCAGGCAAATATGATGAATACTACTGAAACTACAGAAACAAACGCAAGTTGCGGTAAGATATACAAGGTCAATACTAGTGCTTCTACTACTAAATTTCTAACAAACAATCCAAATGAAATTGCAAATATAAACAATAATAATAATAATAATAGCAATAATAATATTAATAGTAAAACTATAAATAGTAGTTAGTTACTGGAGAAATGGAACAATATAATAATTTTATATTTAAAATAATTATTAAAAAACACTCTACCACTTACTGAT